TCTCTGGGATTGTCTATTGAAGAAGGGTGTGTCTGAGAAGTTTATAAACATCCTAAAAGCCCTATATACAAACACCTCAGGCAGAGTGAGGGCATACAACCACCTCTCTCCATTGTTCTATTCAGGCAGTGGGGCTAGACAGGTTGCCCAACCTCACCATTCCTCTTCAACTTTGTCATCGATGACATTCTGGAAACAGCCCTGATAGATGAAGGTGTGGGTCTGTTGCCTGAAGAAAGACTTCTCAACCTTGATTATGCGGATGATATTGTTTTACTGTGCGATAATGCCCAAGCCATGCAATCCGTACTTAGTCAGTTGGCAATCAGTGTCCGTAGGTACGGTATATGCTTTGCACCTTTGAGGTGCAAAGTACTTTTACAAGACCGGAAGGACCCTGATCCTGCACTCACCATGGGTAGTGATCAGGTAGAAGTAGTCGAGGAGTTCGTGTATCTGGGTAGCTGCATAAGTGCTGGTGGTGGCATGAGTGATGAAATCAATTCACATATATTGAAAGCCAGAGCGACTTTTGCCAATCTGGGCCATCTTTGGCGCCTTCGTGATGTTAGTCTGGCTGTAAAAGGTCGGATCTAAAACGCGTCGGTGAGAGCAGTTCTGCTGTGTGTTTGTGAAACCTGACTTCTTCGAGTTGAGGATGTTAGACGACTCTCTGTGTTTGATCATCGTTGTCTCTGAATGATTACTGACATCCAGTGGCGACACCATGTTAGTAATGCAGAGGTTCGGCATCGTGTATTCGGGCGCAGAGACGATAATCCAGTTGGTTTCGCTATCTTCAAACATCGACTTTCGGAACTTGGGCATGTTTTACGAATGTCGTCCCAGTGAATTCCACGTCATGCATTATTTGCCGACTCTAGACTGGCTGGAAAAGGTGGTCGGTGTGTGACATTGTGTTGTGGTATGAAAGATAGCTGTACAGGACTGGCTTCTGTTGGTTCTTCGCGACTCCCTGGTTGGGGTCCTAGAGATGGTGCAACACAGTGGCTAGAGACGTTACGAGATATGGTTCAGAATAGAAGCTAGTGGAGATTCTGCTGTAACTTTCTATTACTTTGTAAACAATTGACGTAACTTCTTGAACTGAAAGAATTTCTGATTGTACCTTTGTTATCTGAACTACCTTTCCGATTATTTAACTTTAATACGCTAATTTCTGTTCGCTATTGTTCCCCTTTTTCTTATGAGCACCTTACATTCTTTTTCTTCACATTCTCATTGTTATTGTGTGGGGCGTATGTATCTGGTGCCCCTTTGAACTTATATATTTGTGTTTAAATAAATAATAGTACAACAGTCATCCAATGTAATTGATCAGTTACTGTCCAGTTCCTTGCCTGTTTAGCATTTACTTGAACTAACTGCCAGTCTTTGCTGACTGAATTATCTCCTCCGGATAGTGATCTCTTTGGTGAGAACGTTACCTACTGTCATTCTAATCTTTCGGTTACAAACATGATTATTTATCACAATGTATTAACGTCTTTAAAAGAATATTACAATTAATGATTTTAGTTTAATATTCTAATCCTTTACTTGCAACTTTCATGTAGTAATTTTATTATTAAATAAGAATACTTGCTTGTATGTAAAACATACACAACGTAAATACTAATGATAAAAACAAAAACAATAAGCAAACATAACATGATTTTCTATCAAGTTATGGGATGTAATGTTGGATCGTTTAAGTTCATATTATATAAATAAATCTTAATTTACTTTTTAATTGTGAACTTCATTGACGGAAGTTGTGAATGATGAACTTATAATGGAATTTGTAAACATGAAGAAAGAATATTCATATTTACTAAAAATGATTTGTGTTTCTCATCAAGAAACGAGATCACTTGAGAAACTTAAAAAAAAACCATGAGTACTGAATAGTTGTTTTATTCTATTTCGGAATTCATTAGTACTGTGAATCCCTCCACTCAAATCCCTTATACTGAATTTATTAAACGCTGAACCCTCGGATCTCAAAATGAGTACGATATTATTCACTGACTCAGTTGGATACTTATGAATACTCTCAATTTCCAACATAATAAGTGTAGATGGTTGTTAGGAATAAGTTAATCCGTGGCAACAACTAAGGTCACAACAAACAATGAGACATTGCTTTTATAGTTGAGTTGGATTCATGGCTACTAAGTTATCGTTTAATGTATTTATAATGCTTTGTAGCAAAATAACGGATTCCTATGTGAAGACGAGTTGCTTGGGATCCTGTTTACAATATGAGACGTAATGACTATTATGGACCAATTAACTAAATATTTACTAAAGCCTATCACAAGTTCTGCATGATGGATTTAAATCTAGGTCATCTGCTGACTGAAATAACTGACTGTTATTTTTGAAACAGCTGAAGACTGTCTTAAATCGTTCTATACGGAAAAATGGGCTCTTAACATTCTTTTCAATTTAGCTTCTACGTTACTCAGTGTTTTGATGTGTTGTCAGTGAAAGTAATATTTGGATGGTCTCTGAGGAAATCAAGACAAATATTAAGTATACAGACTATTGCTATATGTAAAAGATTTCGCTGTAATTCTATTCGGATTTCACTCTTAATTCTCTATACTATGTGTCGATAAACTGTGATTTTGATTTATCATCTGATTCTCAGACTGTCAGTCGGATATTGTGTATGCGCATATCTTGTGTCGTAGTCTAGTGTACTCACTCGTATTATTCAGTCCAGTCTAACACTATTATATTCCATACCATAAGCTAGGAATTTGATTACTTTTGCCAACACGACAATGTTTTTTTTTAAGTTTATGAAGAAAAGAGGAATAACTAAGAAGACGACGAAGCAGTGACACTGAATATTGTTTACGCGCAATCGCAAAATGTTTGAAGTTAGAAATGTAAACTATCGAATACTGACTAATTAAAACTATTTGTATTAGTAGGGATTATTACATACACGCTATAAACTTTTCAAATTTCTGAGAAAATATTTTAGACGTTTTGGTTTATCTTCAATTTCAAGTGTCACATTTTTCGTTCATTCGATAATTTCACCGTCATCCTGAAAATATCTGATAAGGTCTAATTGTATGTTTTACACCAAGCTTGAAGAAAGTTGATACTGTAGCTCAACAAAAAATAGATTTCAAGGGTAATTTTCGTCACAAATGAACATTAGAGAACCAATGATATCACGGGGTATTGGTTAGGTGTTTCATTCTCGTTTTGCGAATTGTAGGTACATAAACATTGACGACCTTAAATGGGACCCTCAAGTCTTGTTGTAAACATGATACTGTTCAGTTACCTGACCAGTAGTCCATATTTTAAAGTGCAGTCAGTTTGTGACAAAACGAGACCCCTTGATCTACTTTCGAATAATAAAATCTTAACAGAACAGTTGTAAGTAACTTTAAGTTGACCGTTAACACTTTACGGTGAAGATAATAGACAGCTTTACATTATATAAAGGATGAGAATGATCAATACTAGATTTTAATTTATTGACCCGATATCGGTAACAAGTGAACATGAATTTTTAATTCTTATTACTTAATATGTTAATGGTTCGGGCTACAAAGCATTTCAGAAGTAAAAAATAACAGTCGTTTAATGAATCGTAGGTATTAAGCATTTTATTTCACGATAAAATTGATACTTAAATAAATGTAGATGTTTGTATTTCATGTCAAATAAAACATGGTAAATTTTAATGAGGTTATATGAATAATGTAGGGAAAATAATCAAAGTCGAATAAGGACTTATAATGACAGGAACTAGTAACCTTCAAAAAAATGCTTACCTAGTCTATCGACAACTATGTTATTGGAATATTAATTACATCATAATTTACTGTGTTGTACTCGAATGTTAATATAGGGTATACAATTAGTTGTATATTGCCTTAATAACTTTTTAATCGGCTCTCGAGAATTATACGGAGTTAGAAGTGGAGAAAAGCTTACTAATTTGTACTTGAACTATTTACCACAGAGTAAATCAGAAATGCAATGTTATGACAGGAAGTAGGATAGAAGTGAATTTTATTTTCAAGTGAATGGTACGTACACACTTCAGTAATCTGATACAATAACTGGTATGTAAACGCGTGATTTCTATGAGAACACAACTTGTTACTTTCTTGTATTTGAATAAAAAGTAGTAGAGGACTTTAGAAGTGACTTTGTGCTGAGATTTGAAGGCATGTCAATATCTGCCCTTCGCACAACAAACGAAAGTCGATAATATTCTCTTGGTAATTTCAATTGTAAACGGATTAGTTTTGTATTTTTCCAATGTATATTATCTAGTTTTAAACTTGTTTCCTCTAATATTTTGGAAAACTGTAACTATTGCAGTCATAATTTTCATTTTGCTAATCGCTGTTATTTGACGTTTCAACCTATCTGGAGTAGCCGTTGGACACTAGAAGGTTATTTTCTTAAAGTTATACTTCAACACTCAATCTAACTTGTTTGTTTCAAAACGATGGGTTTCATTCAAGCTTTAATTATTAACTGTAACATCCTGATAATCACTGGATAAGGGGGACATAATCAACGGAAAAGTGCACAGTTGATTTATGAATTATCAAATAAATCCAAGCTACAAATTATGAATCTATAACTATTTTTTTGCCACTGTGGCATTGGTGTCTAGTATTATGAATGTTGATTCCAGGCTCGATAATAAAAGTACCTGATATATACTATAGTTAGACTTACAAATACGAAATTAATATAGTAGAGATTATTTTCCAAAGCCTGATGCATACAACAACTTAATGCAGTCAGTATTAACTATCTGGGGGATTCGTTTATCCATGCAAATTTGGACTGAAATAATTTATATGATGATCAACTACTGACACTATGGTTGTAAAAGACCACCATTATTCCTTCTAGAGTACTTAACTGAACTGATTGATTTTTTCCACGCAGCACGATCATATAAAGTCTTCATGATTTGTAAGATTGCTACCTTTAACAAGTTAGTATTATCTAACCAATTGTATTTGAAAAATAAAGAAAACACGAAGGAAAGTATCAGAAAGTATGGTCAGTTATCAAAAGCATTCACAATATGCTATAGAATCCTACAATAATAATTACATCAAACTTAGTAAACAGAGTGTTTCCTGAAAAACCCTTTGTAACTTCGCAACGTTGTTTTTCAGGAGGATATGAATATTCCGAGTTTTTTATAGAGTTAAAAGATTTAGAAACTTGGCACAACAAACTTCTATATATATATAACTTCAACAACATCCTATATAAAAAAACTGTACACAAAATAACTTTTATTTATCAGTTCTTTAATTCAAAAATATTTCGTGGTACGTAAAATGTTCTTTCTCGTTTGATGATGGTATGGGCCATAAACATTGATAAAGATACGAGAAACAGAAGATATTAGTAAAATACAGTTAAGATGATACAACAGAGCATTGATTAGATGAAGTACGTAAATAAACATCAGAAATGCAATGTAGTTGCAATCAATTCTGCAATATCATCCATTATCTAAAAAACCAAAACAATGAGTAAACAGTATGAACATCACGTAATCGTTTATTTTCTTTAAATATAAGGTTTGATAGAAACAATACGATACTTTATTCCAAATACAACAATGTCTCGATTCGTATTGCCGTAATTGGAAAAAACCACTTTTAGAGATAGCTACGAAGAAAAGTTTTAGAACAAAATTAATTCTGATCTATTCTACTCCATTTTGAGATAACACAGAAATCCTTACAGTGATCGATGTCATATGAATTGAAAAAGTTGGTGACTAACATGGCATACTGCTCTCCTGTTTGAACTGGAAAACATTGGGATAAAGGTGAAACAAGTTGACGAGTTGTAAGTAGGGTGAAACACATATCCTGGATTCTACTACTACCCAATACTCAAGTAATACTTTGCAAATGCAGACAATATTGAGATATTAGTGGGATATAGTTATATCGAAAACCAAAGGTTGGAAACTTTTCCCAGTACCGATAGTAGTGTGATGCTTCTGTAGTTCTCACACTTGCTCAGATCTCTTTTCTTTGGTATCTTGACGAGATATCCTTCTTCCCAGTCTGTCGAGACCTGTTCTTCCTTCGAAAGCTTCACAAATAGAACGTGGAGCATCTTTGTAGTTACCCCTATGTTTGACTTCAGTGCTTCAGCTGGTATAATGTCTAGTCCGTCCAATTCCCCACTTCTGATTCGTGTGATGGCCATGCTGATACCTTCGATCGTTAAGAGAGTGGCAACTATAGGAATTTCTGTGTGTACTGTCCCGATGTCCGGTGGGTTCAGTGGGGCTGGCCTATTCAAGAGTTCTTCAAAGTGTTCTACACACCTATTCCTCCGTTTCTTTTTCGAATCTCAGTGATTGGCTTCACTTCTTTGTCCGTGACTGGTCTCTCTGGTTTACTGTATTTCCCTGCTAGTTTCTTCATTATATCACATAGTTGTCTTGTATTTGCTGTGTTGCAGCTTTTTCCGTTGTCATTGCCAGGTCTTCTACATGTTCCCACTTATCGGAGTTATATGATAACTTATGCTACAGATCACTATCATGAATGTAAATAATGATGGATATAGAAAATATCATATACAATTTTAGAATTATTGACTGAATAAGTATACTTAAAAACTAGTCAGGATACACATTGAAAAGCAATCACAAAAACATTTTCAATGACGGACTATTTTCAAATTATTTCATGATTGTAAATGGAATCCTTATTGATTGAGAGGGGGAAATTGAAAAGCAAATTCGACCGTAATTGGTACATTTGTTAGGTTGATCGATTACTCTACAGAAAGATAAGGTGTGATAGTTACGAAACTTTCTTTTCAAGTTTACATTCAGTGTTACATATTAATCAAAAAGGAAGCAAGAAAGTGTTTTCATTCTAGTATGTGAAGATAGCACTTGAATATTAGCTTATATTACTTGGATATATATGGAAAATCAAGTATATTACTTGACTTTCGATAGGACTGAACGGTTGAATTCGAGATGGTCAAGTTACGTTAATAAACTGAATCCCAGTGGATAAGTCTTTACAACACATCTATAAAATTTTGATATAACGCAATTTATTGTCATTAGATATCATGAAAATGAACTAACTTCATCACGTAGAATTTATATGAATTCATAAAAATCTGACATTCTGTAAGAATCCATTATTTAAGCGATTTACAACAAAAGAGGTGGACTTATTTGGGCTTCCATTATAGTTTACTAGTAAATAAAGTGCTACAACGTCAAATGATTAGAAATAATCTAAGGCTACCGTCGTCCTTCTTAGTTATTACGGTTCATGTTTGTACTTATAGACACCTTTATGTATGAAATAATCACAAAACATTGAGGAATAAAACACTTAGAACTTTCGTCGTAAGAACTATTTGACAAATGTGATCGTGTGTCATAGAGACGAAATGTGTCGAAACTAAGAAGGAATTAATAAAATTTGTTCTATTCACTATATCAAACTGTAAATATCCGGTAACTTCAAAAAAAGGAAACATAATAAATTAGATAATAAACATACACTTTCTAAACTTTGACCGGATTTTTTAGCTATCTCTAAACGTTGACAATGTGGTAAAGTTAGATAACGCCAAATTAAATCACCGTCTGCAACTTTACCGCATGGATTAGCTAATTCTGGTTGAGGACGATTATATGACCTAGAGAAAAGTCACATTAAAGTACAAATCATTATTATCATACGATCACGTTTATAATATACTGACATGATAGCTGTGAAATAGTTTTGTAAATTCGAATTTATATTTTAAACTGTGAAATATTACTTATTGAAGAATTAAAAAGGATACCAGATTACTTATCTAAAAGTAGACATAATATAATCTATTATGCGAAATTCCCATATGTGCATATGCTACTAGATGACGATGAGGGAAGAAAATGAACAAACTTAGATTTATCAGTATCATTTATCTAAAGCAACCACTGAAAAAATGGAAGCACTAAACAACCGTTTCGTCCTGACCACTGAATCAGGATCCAAGGGTGTACAAATTCAACTTTAACCAATCCATGATACAGAGCCAATATTTTCCATTGTCCTCGGTGGGTATCCCCTCCTTATACCCGACACGGTGAAGATCTGTTATTAGTGGAGTTCGAGGCAGTTATTCAGTAAAAGTGATGAATGAGGGTTGTGTGATATCGTGAATTGACAGAAGTTAGACATCACTGTTGAATGCCAACTCAGTGATCCAGAGATTAAGCGTTCAAGCGCAAGATGAAGGTTATGGGTTCGAATATCGGTCGCAAGTGCTGTGGATGCGTACTGTTGAGATATAGATATATTCGAAAACCGAACATGAAAAAGTGGTAGAATCCAACCAGCTGACTGACTACTAAAATTATCACTAATGAAGCATTGGTTAGATTTTTTCCTACACATTTGAGCTTATGTATGATGAACCACTACTTTGGCTGAAAAGAAGAGTAACATGACAAACATTAGTGAATATTATTCCGCCTTTAGTTAAACAATAAGATTTTTTGGGGCAAATAAATTAATTGTATTAAGTGATAAGAGTTATCAATCAATCAAAAACTACTATAAAGTGTAGTTTTGTTACGAACAGAGAGTGAAATAAACCTCAGGATCAAAAGGTCAAGATATATCAAGTTAAGCGGTTAATATTAAACCATACAAATAATTGTATTCTTCGTATTTGACTCCAAGAGGAAACAAAGGTTCATGATAGTAAATATTCGGTGACGTAGTTTAGAGTAACCAGGATATGGATATGAATCTTGCTTATCCAACTACGAAGTAGTGAACAAACCAATGCTACGCATCAGTAAGAAGTACACCAACATAACATCAATGAAACTAATAACTACTAATAATTTAAAGAGAGAGCCAACTTAGTGGCACAGTAGACTACGTAATGAAGAAACTAGTCTCTTCCGACAATAAGTCACTTTCTCCCTTTATATATATAATCAAAGGGTTAGATATAGGTAAGTACAGAATTTCGACAATAATGTGACTATCTAATCAGAAAAGTAAGAGATATTAATTTTTCAGACTAATAATACATATCTAGTAATATAAACCTGAAATGATATTTTGAGGAAATTAATCAACCTTTTTACAAGTCCTACTTATACAAAATAAGAACCAATCCACAATGAATTATAAAAAAAGACTCACCAACATGATTTAGGCGGCATACCACATATAGGTCCAAGATGATGGATTAAATTTTTCTCAGTTATACGAAGGCGACTATACATTTTATCACGTATAGGACCGATTCGGTAAATAGAACCATTCTGACTACCTAAAATATTGTATTTAAAAAAAAGGAAGACCAAGCTTTTAACATCAAAGAATGAAACTACACACACATAAGAACGAACAGCTCATACTTTGGGTTGTTATAAAAAGACGGAGAATATCAAGAGGACTGTAAACGTTTGGAATTATTTAGTGAAGAATTATTGTTTATATTTTTATGGTGTAATTATATGACATTTGGGTCACTGTATCCTTATATTTTCCTAACTGTAATCTTTCGTTTGACACATAAACTACCGTTATTTCTTGAAGATACAACAGATATTTCACAATAATCACTACATGCATAAAACAATAATATTTATGAGATATGAAATTATCCAAATGTTAACATGACAAACCATATTGTCGCGTTCTTTTTGAATGCTGAACACCATTTCATTTTTGTGTATTGGACATTTTACAAATCTCGAGGGTTCGTTCACTGTCTTTTTCGACAATACTACCAACACACATCTTAATAAGAAATGGGATGTTAGAATCTATTCACCGCTCACTAACTGCTTGTTCTGTTGACCTCAAGTGTGGCTGATTTATTGTTCATTAGTGTGTGGCAACTGTTGACATGCTTGTTTTTGGCTGTTTTCAACTATAACCTGATCTTTGACATTGTAGCTGTGTTTACTTTCTTCTTTATCACAAGTTATGAATATTCCCCACCATCTGAAATTCATATGGGTGTAACCGATCTTATTTCTTTGCTCGTTCAATAAGTAATCAGTTTATTTACGAATGTCCTGAAAATATATGCTATTATTCTTCAATAAGATAATATGTATAACAGATAAATATCCCCAAAAAGAGTAACAATAATAGTGACAATCACAGACAGTTTATAGCATAAATAAAATAAAGATAGTCCAAATAAACATACAAAAACGCATTAAACTAACCAAAATATATAGACTGTCTAAATTTCTCTGGATCAACACCAGAGTTAGGATTGGTGGTCCCTTGTTGCGCAGCTGTAGATTGTTGTTGTTGTTGTGATTGTTTTAAGTTATTCATTTGACTAACAGAATCAACAAGACTTATATTATCTAAAATAGTATTAGTAGGATTTTGGTTGGTCGCTGAAGTTCCTGCTGTCAATGTTGACGCTGTAGTTGTTGACGAAGGTTTAACTGAGAGTAAAGCATGTCTAAGTCGATTGGCCACACGAAGTGAACAGGTTGCACGAGATGGTAAACGCATATCTGCACAACGAACAAGCCGTCTTCCAGAACGACTTGAAGGATCTAATGGATCATAACTATAGATGGTAACATTGCCCAATTCATCAGATACTGAGATCAATTTGAGATAGGAGAAAAAACAACACATATTTACATGAAATCTATTATTATGTGAAACCTCAGCACATTTTCTAAGGTTTGTACTATTAACGGTTTACTACCTTGACAGATATAACTCAAAGTCTGTAAGAAGATTCAAAAGAAATTAAGCGTTTCTCAGAAGTTGATTAAAAAGATCAGTTTTATGAAAGCGAAAATAGTACTGCTACTATTGAAAGAAATGGAATTATCATAGATTGGATGTAATGCGAAACAGCAAAATTACGAGCACTTAACTAATTTGTTAAACTACACATTAAACTGGTTAAGAATAAAGGATTTCAGTGGTTGCATGATACGTGAAAGCAAGCTAATTTAAGCGAAATTAAAAGTTATTAGCTAACAAATATGTATGAAGAATACAAATGGAATATCTAAAATAAGCGAATGTAAATTTAAATAATAAAATTGATACAGAGATACATCTATATGTATAGATTGAACCATTTTATCACATTGTAAATCTCATATTCATCCACGGCCATACATACACACAATGATACACAAAGTAATACATACGAAGGTTATCAGAATTATGTGATATATTTGCGCAATACATTTCGAACAATCTGATAACACATATACTTGTTAAGAACATTTTGTATATGAAAATTAAAAGGTCAACTAGACAGGTTAAGGGTAATTTTGGTGGAGTTTTGTTCTCTGAGCTGGATGGTTTGGTCGTGGAGCTTTCATCGTTCTTCTGAACGACATCATCAGCACAAACTTCAGAGAACAAAACTCCACCAAAATCATCCACCTGAGCTACAAATCTTCTCCACCAGGTTAAGGGTAAGTCATAACAAAGGAAAAATTATTAAAGTACACAAAACAAATGTGATTACTACTCTGGATAATAAATCAGTATTACCAGGGTAGGTTAAGTGTAAGGACAAATTGTTTTTGAACACATAAAGGGGGTTTCAATTTCCGTATAGCCAAGGCTTCAATAAACTGTACATTCGTATATATAGTTATATGGAAAATGTATGTCTATAGAAAGATAGAATGGATTGTATCACAAAAATGGATTCGACAATAAATAACAAATGAGGTTAACGTACTAATCAAGGGGTGTGTTAAGGACAAACTTTCGCTTTGGGCCACTTCAATGTGTATCTATAAATTTACTTGCTCATGTGGGGCATGTTACATAGGCCGCACAAGGCGATCATTATCCAAACGCATCTCGGGACATTATCCGGCTTGGCTCTTGAAAGGGGAGCGAAAAACAATCACGAGCACTTAATCAACTGTGGACATATCGCTCCAAAAGACTCTTCGTTTAAAATAGTTTACAGAGTCAAAGGAACTGGATCGAAGGGGGTTCGAATCAATATTTTATGCACCGCAGAGGCATTGGCAATCCACAAACTAAAGCCTGAACTTTGCGTGCAGAAACGGTTTGTCCAACCTCTCATCCTTCCCTGACCCTAATTCCCTTAATGGGTATGTTTCTAGATGTTTTTTAAATGCACTTTTATTATTACTATTTTGCACTTTAAACTCTAATAATTTATTATTACTACCTTTTACAAGTTTTCTTGATTATTATTCAGTCTATTATTATGACCTTTGTTGTTTTGTCGTTTTTCTTCATATCTGCTTCAATAAACCTTAGTTTACATCTTAGAAGGCTTTTGTATAACACTACAAATGCTGATTTGATATCAACCTTATAACCCGTCTCAATCAAATGTTTCGCAATGGATGATGATGTTCGTCTATCCTGTGATCTTATTTGACCATTGGAATCCACTTGCTTCTGCAACTATTTTGGTATGTGTTCACCCACCTTTAATTGCAAATCACGATTGCTCCTCCCTATGTACGTGTTTCCACACATACATGTAAATTGATAGACACAATGGGATGTGACAATCGCTTTCGTGCTGTTTGGGCTTTTGGTGAAACATAGACCTTGTCTTTTCGATAATGACAAGTTGGGCTGCATAAAATGTCCGGTTGATAGCTGATTTAAGTCTCCGTTTCAGCATGAGACTATTTGTGTCACCTCTGAATGGTAACGTAATATAAACTCGCTTTTTGGGTGCCAGAAGCGTCATAGGTCTAGTCGTATTGTAACCCCTACAGCGGTTTATGAACTTTAAAGAATAACCATTATTCATTAATGTATCAGTCAAGAGCTTCGTTTCTACTTCAATAGTATCACTAGTACAAATACGACTGATTCTATTGAATAAGCTCTTTATTAAACCGCGTTTATAATGTATAGGGCAGTGACTATGAAAATTAAGATATTGTCCTGTCCATGTTGGTTTTCTATATATAGCACGTTTGATGGAACCATCATCTCTCCTAGTAATCAGGATGTCAAGAAAAGGAAGTTGGTTGTTCTTCTCTTCTTCACATGTAAGAGAAATGTGCTTTTGACTACTATTGAATTCTTCTAACAAGCGGTTTATGTCTTCAATTTTATCACCTATGATTATTATGTCATCTACATATCGTTTATACAGAACCATCTTTCGAATTGAGTCTCCAACTAAATTTTCCACATATTCCATGAACACATCAGCCAGCAATGGTCCTAGAGGGCTGCCCATAGCTACACCATCTATTTGTCGGAAGTGCTCACCGTCAAAAGTGAATTTTACATTATCTATACACTATAATTATAAGTCTCTAAGAGCGTTAACAGGAAATGGCAGTGGAAGGTTATTCAAAGAAATATAGTCACACAAAATATCAATAGTTTTCCTGAGAGGTACATTTGTAAATAAAGTGTTCACATCGAAGGAGCACTTTGTCTTTATATTTATGTCCTTTAAGTATTTAATTAATTCAAATGAGTTCATGTGCATGAACGACACAGTCCAATAATTTCTTAAAATCTCGTCCAGTCAGTATATATATGTATACTTCAAATTAGGTGGCATTTCAACTAAATTATGGCCTGTACTTCAGTACAGAGTTTTACCATAGCCGAACAATGTTGGAATATTTCTTATTTAAAAAGACATTTGTCATATAATGGGGGTAACGAGTATTTAAGAATATATTGGGACTTTATTCTTTCTGCTTTCATAAGGGCTGCAAACAAGTTTTCATGAGTTAATTAGTCAATCACAACTAAAGTAGAGTCTGACACAGACATACGTTGATCCAACTTGCTATGGTACACTAGTACGACGAGATTAAAAAATATATGAATAGAAAAAGTTAAAATAATTGTAAGAACCATCATAATGAGAAGGACTAAACACCGAGAATATAGTCCGAGAAGAGGGAAAGGAAATATATGAATGAAGGAATACTGGAACTTGAAATCTAGATGAAAACAGAGAGTGAACGGTTTTCAACCAACGATTATGAGATAGTCTGCAACTACAAATATTGGCTCAGATCAACCGTCAATAACTTCATGGACTGATGGCACAACTTAGTTTGACCGCCTCTAACTTTATTCTAACTTGCTCGTATATCTAATTCATTGTGATCGTTTACGTAACACGTTGTCAGGAAAATCAACTTTAACTCAAATATTCAATTGCTAAAAACTTATTTTTGTAATAGACTGGTTCACCTGATACGAATCCCTGCTTGTATGTGTTTAAATAAGTCTCACATAAGTTGTATAATCACATTCTTAAGGTTACCAAAAACAAACAGAAAGAAACAGTAAAACCACACCAACAATAACTAACCCATGAATCCTAAACGTCGACCATCTACAAAAAAGTTGGATGTATACACTTCTCTAGAGATATTATCTCGACTGACAACAGAGAGAACACGTAAATCTGATTGAAATCTTAACAACTGAACAGATTTTAATACATCAGCTGCTAAAACTAAATTTTTCACACATAATAAATTATGGATGTATAATTCCGAGTCAACAAATGCTACACCCACAAGATCAGTATTCTTCAATGTCCAAATATAGATCTAAGAGAGAAAAGAACAAAATGAATTATGTACAACACAAGTTTAGAATAGTAATACTATATTTAATAAAATAAAATATATATGATGCGTCGTTCTATTGAATAAAGCTATCTTAATATAATAAGTTCATTATATAAATGGAATAGTAACATCAATTATTTTTTTAAAAGATAGAAAGAATAAGTAATCATACATTAATTTGAAGAAGGTAGATGATGCATGGTATGTACAACTATGACAAAAATATCGATCTGGTAAAGTAATAAGTAAGTTTTGTTTTACTATGAGCAAAAGCGAACTAACATGGAGTAGAGACATCCACAGGAATAGAGTTATCGATTTGACATCAGAGAGTTGATGAAGGAGTATATATATATATCCTGGACAAGAATCAAGAAAGGAAGAACAAGAAGATAGCTATTAACAACAGCCAAACAAGAGCAGAGAAATTCGAGTCACAAACCAAATACACAGAAGCAAACATGCAAGTGAAGAGGAGCATGAGAGCCGATAAGTGGGAACATGTAGAAGACCTGGCAATGACAACGGAAAAAGCTGCAACACAGCAAATACAAGACAACTATGTGATATAATGAAGAAACTAGCAGGGAAATACAGTAAACCAGAGAGACCAGTCACGGACAAAGAAGTGAAGCCAATCACTGAGATTCGAAAAAGAAACGGAGGAATAGGTGTGTAGAACACTTTGAAGAACTCTTGAATAGGCCAGCCCCACTGAACCCACCGGACATCGGGACAGTACACACAGAAATTCCTATAGTTGCCACTCTCTTAACGATCGAAGGTATCAGCATGGCCATCACACGAATCAGAAGTGGGGAATTGGACGGACTAGACATTATACCAGCTGAAGCACTGAAGTCAAACATAGGGGTAACTACAAAGATGCTCCACGTTCTATTTGTGAAGCTTTCGAAGGAAGAACAGGTCTCGACAGACTGGGAAGAAGGATATCTCGTCAAGATACCAAAGAAAAGAGATCTGAGCAAGTGTGAGAACTACAGAAGCATCACACTACTATCGGTACTGGGAAAAGTCTCCAACAGAGTGTTTCTGAACCGGATGAAAGATTCAGTAGATGCCCTACATTGAGACACTACGGATCATTGTTGAACGGTCGGTTGAATGGAACTCATCATTATACACCAACTTCCTCAACTGTAAGAAAGCGTTTGACAGTGTGGACGGGAGAACCTTATGGTACCTTCTTCGACACTATGTAGTGAGTAGTTGAGAAGATCATCAACATCATACGGAATTCATACAACGGACTGCACTGTAAAGCCGTTCATGGAGAACAGCTGACCGATGTATTCCAAGTGAGGACGGTTGTTAGACAAGGCTGCTTACTCTCCCTCTTTCTATTTCTTCTTGTAGTCGATTGTATTAGGAAGACGTCCGCTCCTCAGGGGGAGCACAGAATACAACAGATAGCCCGGATGCAAATAGACGATATGGACGTGACAGATGACCTAGCTCTTTTATCCCATACACAACAAGAAATCCAGGTGAAGACGGCCAGTGTAGCAACAACCTCTATAGCAGTAGACCTCAACATACAAAAGCAGAAATGCGGGAATCTTAAATACAGTACAATGTGCAACAACAGAATCACACTTGATGATGAAGCTCTGGAAAAGGCGGAAACTTTTACGTGCCTGGACAACACATTGATAAACAAACAGTTTCTGGTGTAGATTTGAAGACACGGATTAACAAAACAAGGGAAGCATTACTATATTTGAAGAACATATGGAACTAAAAAACAACTGCCAGCCGACATCAAAGTCAGAATTCATCATACGAACGTAAAGACAGTTGTATTTTACAGTTCTATTGTACTTGGAGAACTACTACTACAACCATCATCAAAAAAGTACAAGAATTTACAAACAACAGTCTACACAAGATACTCCGTTGGTCGGATACTATCAACAACAACCTACTATGTCAGAGTACAAGCCAGATTCCAGTTGAAGAGGAAATTAGGAAAGGACTTTGAATGTGGATAGGATATAGAATGCGGGAATCATCAGACTGCATCACTAGGCAAGTGTCAATCTGGATTCCTGAAGGGTGTGCAACGAAAAATTACGTAAAAATTAAATATTGCACTTAATTGAAAAATGAAGGAGATATTTATAAGATTTAAATTCTAAGATGAAAGAATGTAGCCTAGGTGTGATTTGTTTTGAAGATAAAAAAAACTAGAACAAAAAGAGTAATCTGTAAATAAAATTATTTAAGAGTCCTAAACATCATCATGTGACATCTTTATACAGAATATACTGTTTTAGTAAGTAAAGTTTATGAATTGATTAGTGTGAACAACATCAAACCACTACATTGAATCATACGATATACTCCATAAACATGTTTTGACATAAAGAAAACACAGTTATGAGCAGTGGTATTCAATTGTATTTGAGTGAATGAAAGAAACAATCAAGAATATCTGAGACTATTTAATAAAGATTTGATTCTATTATTGTTAGTTAACTCTTGTATTTTGTTGTCACGTATTTCAACACGAGTGAATTGCATTGGATCACTTTACTTGACTGTGACCACATGTATTTTGGGCTAAAATGTGACTTGAAAATCGTACTGGTTGGACGAATATCTAATAAAATTTAAAGCTTTATTATTAATTGAGTACTCATTAAAAAATATTCTATTAGTCAGAGATCTTATTTATCAACGGACATAGACTACTGTCAAAAGAATCTGGGCCCCCAAATGCCCTGGTACGACCGAGAGTGGGGAGAGTCCGGTCTCCCTCTCGAAATGCTCTCACATGGCCACGCGTATATAGCCTCTGCCAGGGAAGTCCTACTCACTGCCTTCTCGAGGTGGGGGTGTTGTTTACGAAAATGAGAGGACGAAAAGCGAATGTCCGGCGCTTTAACCGGATTCCAAACCAATGGTGCACATGGGCTCCAGTATCCTGAGGGAAAAAATGGCGTATGAACCAACTGTTGGTCACCGGCTTCCATGGGACTGCATCTCCTTACGATGCTCCACTGCCTTGTGGATCAGACCTTCAGGTCGAAGGCTCGGGGTGTGGCCCCCTAAGAAAACCACCTGCTTCGGTTTGGGCACCCGGGCAGTATCACAGCCCTCACACATATCGAATGAGATTTGTGTGGCGCATATGTATTTGGTGCCTCCTTGTACCAATATCTATGTGTTAAAATAAATAAATAAATAAATAAAGAATCTGGAAAGAGGTAACTAATCAACCGCTAAAATGGTTTATGAAGGTTATCCATTTGGTTATCGATCGAAAAGGGTTTTATTCTGAACCGTACAGGATACAATATCACTCGCAAGTGATATGATTCAAATAACAGTAAAATGGAACCATCGGAGAATAAACAAGTCATCTAATTATAGTAAAATCTTTATGATTTATTCGAAAAGAATTAAATCTAGGTTGTGTTATTTGAGGAAACTGGAAATACTTATCATCAAAATTGATATTAAAGAGATTAACAATTGTATAGATGAATTATAACGAGATCAGAAAACCAGACGCAAAGATTTCACGAAATCTTTGGTCGCGATTTATTTTAATCATAAGAATTACTTTAAGGAGTGATCAGTTTAAGAAGCAACAAATTGGTTACTGATTACAATAACATTTTCACAATTACCTTTTGTCCGATTGCACTGATTAAATGACCCTGACAGCTAGTTAAAGCTGTCACTGGACCCTTTTGCTCACCATCATGTATAATTTTCAATTTATGTCGTGTAAGTGGTTGACCAGGTTCTGGTACTACATCAATCACGTCTAAAATTAGAATTCGACCACGTACAGGTATTTCTTCACCATATGATAAATTTGCACCTAAAGCCAAATAATCTTTTGTACCATGAAACGTCTCTTCAGATGCTAATTGTGCTGTAATCAAACATGTGACAACTTCCCACGGTTCAAATTCAATGCTAAAAATAATTGAAGTAAATAATAATACAGAGTAGTTGAGATAGAATGATAACAGATTATAAATAAGTACTTTTGATAAGTTAATTAAATCGTATAAAATTTTGGAGTGTAAATCCTAAGAAATATTCAAGATGAAAATATTATACTGGATCTTCTACATTTTTCTAAAGGATACGATGAAAACTATTTTGAGATGAAAGTCAAAATAATTGTAGTGAATAGCTATTTCAACTGTTGTACACCTTAAGTAGATCATTACTATTTTGTTTCAATTTTCTATTATTCCACAATAAAATATTATACTGCTGATTCCAAATCCAAACTTCTTTATTTTTCATTTGGGTGATTATTCGAGGGACTGCTTAATTACTACAATAAAACAGTTCAGATTTGAATTTAGAAATGTAGATTATGTGTTAATGAATATCCAAACTGTGTAAAGATACTAATTAGCAAGCAAGCAAATTATACAAATTAAAAAATATACAGATCAAAGGAATTATTAGATAACAATAACAAAACTATAGAATTCAACGTTATTAACTTTAGAAGTGGGGAATTCCTAACACAAAAACATGAGAAAAATCAACAAGCACTAACATCGGTTAACGAAGTTTACCTCGTACAGGATCATTTGTCATAAACAAACACATCATTATGACAAGAAATGAACAGTATAAAAAGCAAAGAGTTGAAATGATATTGAAATTGTAAAATATGATGTAAACCAAATCTTAGTCTGGATTTCATAATACTTCTTTATAAATAGAACCGGATAGTAAAGCTAAAGAAAATTTTTAATAAACAATAATACTAAAACTATTAACTTACAGCGTATTGGGAATCAATAGCCATGGGGATTGTTTATTACGATGATTAGCATTTAAATTTGGTGCATACATTTGTAAAGAGTAATAGTCTAAGGTTGGTAGAACACATGTTTTAGGACGAACTAAAACATCTTCTTCTTTATTACCTTCAGCATTTAATCGAAATACAGATTTACACGGTTCTGAATGAATACCGACAACAGCATATGTCTATGATATAAACAAATGTATATGGAAAATCATTGTTATTCTGGTATGATCTACGTACATTGTATTGGGATATACATAACTTTCAAATAAGATTACAATAGTACATTTATATTGTAAGATATTAAGATATATTCTCTGAAGGACTAAAAAAACGCCAGTACTATAACCTTGAGTTACACTATTTGTGAATAAGTGATATTACCCGGTTGCCTAAAAACAAACAATTGGAGTTGGGTTTTGAACGCATACAACTCAAGTAATACACATTCATCACCAAGTCATTGTCTTTTTTTTAAAAGTTCTATATTCGATAAGTTCTGATTGCATTGAGCAAACCACTAAAAAATATCATATTTCACCTCATTATTACACATTTAAGGTAATATGAAACTACGAGTATTATGTATACAAGGAATATCATGATTATCTTAAGTAAACAGTTTATAAAAATTTAAAATAAAACAATATTGTTACAAATGCGTTCAATTACAATGATAGTTTACACTAAACAACTTGAAAAATCTTATCATTATATAAATATCTTAAACTTAATTAATATTCACATTATACAATCCTCAAACTAGAATATGCAACAATGAAACCAATTCCCTTGTAGTATACATATAATTCATAAATATTGGGAAATAATTTGTGTTTGTATCATTTCATTGATAATAAGGACAGGAACTGATTAGTTTCTTTCAGATACATGTACAACCTGAGAGGATTGAATCGAAATTACTATATAACCACAAGTATACGGGAAAGTTGGATAGTGGCTAGCTGTGGAATCTAGAACGCATGTTCTGTTCAGTTTGGGACTATTTGGTTAGATGTATCTGTATCCCAGCGTTAATGCTTAGCCAGGACTCAAACCTAGTACATTTAACTTTAAATGGCCAATGCGTTATTTACCAGGTTACTGAACCGAGATAACCACTGGCTTGAGCGACGGGGGTGAGAATAATATTTAAAATGTATCTCCATAGTGATTAGCTGTCAGTTATTTCCATTCATAGACGTTTTTGACCAGTTTTATGGCTGAGACTATTTTATTCAATTTATGAAATTAAAAACAACCGTTTCTCATCTTTTTAAAAGGTAGACAAGGACGAAGATAATACCGACTACTGTAACGCTTATGGTTGTATTTTTCAGTATTTAGGTTTACAATAGGTCGGGGACGTTTTATAAGACCATATAAGTACACTATGTGGTCGATATAGTTGGTTAATTAAAAAAATATGAATATTGCATTATTTGCACAAATGATGAAACAGGTTTGAGAGCGCCACAGAATTAGTGAGACAATGAGCAAAATGGATGAAACACAACTGATATTGATAAACATACTAATAAAAAATCTGAACAAAAACCTCGACATGAACGTTGATTCGTGACTAAGAGTGGATAAAGTTCATTGCTATTTTCACAAAATCTGTAGTTTTTGTCATGTGGTAGGAAGTGTCTTTTTATATAAGTGAACAAATTCCTAACCTTATTAGATTGTTTTACATATGAAAAACGTTAAAGTCAACGACTAGAAGTGACTATTTCAACCAATCACCTGCTTGAATATAGGCGACAAGGAAGTGGTTATAGAAATTCAAAATTGATAGATGGATTGAGACGACAACTTACTGTAGACTTAAAAATTGTTATCATTCATCTAAAATGTAGACAAGTTTTTATTTCCAAAAAATAAAACACTATTGTGTTATAATCATTTAATACAAAGGGAATTCAAAAATACTAATTTAATCAAACTACGTTGACAGTAGCAATAACTATAATTCTTCAACGCATCAAGGGCGATATAAAACCGAAGATTAGAAAACACAGGAATAAAGAGTATAGATATACGATAGCAATAACTAAAATGATAAAGTTCGTAAAAATCATACAAACTATCAGTTTAAACCACTAGGTAGAAATTTCGAAATCCAATTTACCAAATTCGATTTGAACGGCCGCGAGATGTCACTAGTCCTCACACAAATAATTTAACTCAAATCTAAGAATGTAAACAAGTAGTTTGTAGTTAAAGCATTTGGCTTTCGAACAATTAGTACGTTTAAACACCAGTCTAGTTGATATAACCGGATGAGAAGGTGAAATCACATTTTTAACTCATTGTGATTCCTATCCAACATTCAGTTCTAATTCTATATAACGATTATTCAGAGTAGAATTTGTTTTTGTTTTCCACTGTGATATTTCATTCAGTTTTAACAATGATTTATTTGAATGCCATGTCATTAATTTAACAGGAACTGTGCACAGCATGACATGCAGCATGTGATTTTGTTATAACTCTATTTTTTATGTGTGTAACTTTATTCTAATTAATAATCAAAATGAGTGTTCGATCAATATATATTGAGTGTATTTTTAACTGAAGTTGACATGTTTTAGGTGTAATATATCCAAGTATTGACGGGCTTACTTCATGTCGTGGGAATTGCAGTGGTTCCTTGTTCCTTCAAGTATGAGATAAGAGATGCGGATACAACAATTTGGCGACGGAGATGAAATGAATGTATGTGCTTCAGGACCAATTGACGAAGATGTTTATGAATGATAACTCGATCACCAAACAGGACGCAGTTATCAACGATTGACAGGAAGTCTCTTCTTCTGTGGAACAGTTTCATGTCTTCTGACTGAAGATGTGTGGGCCAGCCATAATTCAGGTAGTGTATTATTTTACAAATAACTGGATAGTTTTTGCTAGACTCTGCAAATCTCCTTGATGTTAAAGTAACGGAGTGAACAGCATTTGTGAAAAATATTGAAAACGCCATTTTCAACCGAATCAACAGACTACTGTGTTCTAATTTTATAGCTTCTGATTACTAATCAATCTGGAAAGGGCATTCATACGACAAGATTGTGTAGATTTATAAATGATATGAAAATTATAACCTAATATGATCACTGCGCATCTTTGGAGGCGGTTCGCTGAGCAAATTAGGATTCCTTTTTTGATTCCAAAAATCTCTACAAGTGGTTTATGATCTGTAAGCAGTGAAACGTCGACCACGTGGCATTTTGCGAAACTTCTTGACTGAGAAAACCAGAGCATATCTTTTCTTCTCAGTTTGACTATAATTACGTTCTACCGGAGTTAGTGAAGCGTGACAAATGGCCTTTTCTGTACCATCGGGAAAAACATGTGAAATAATCGCCCTAATGCCATAATTTGAGACATCAGTCGCTACCACAATATTTAATTTAGGGTTGTAGTGGACTTAAAGTAAACCAGATGGCAATATTTCGTTTACTCTGTTAAACGATTGTTGGCATTCCTTTGACCATCGCCATTTCGCACCATCCAACAAGGGTTGATTCAGTAGGTGTCTCAATTGATGCGTAGATGGGACAAAAAAAGCCGCAAAAACTGATCATACCAAAGAATGATCATAACTTGCCAACATTTCCTGGTACTGGCATTTGTCTAGTTGCATTAATGTTATCAGGATCGGTTCTATCACTGTCTTTGTCGATCACGAACCCTAGATATTTGATGGTTTGTATAAAGAAATTGCACTTATCTGCACGTAATTGGAAGACATTTTTAAAATTTCGACAGGACACCACCAAGTCTACAGAACAGTTTCTCTTCAGCAGCTCCAGTAACAATGATGTCATTTAATTAGGCAACATGTACTAGTATTTCACATGTCACAATATCCATAATTTGTTGGAATATAGCAGGACCTATCTTCACATTGAAGAACAATAGCTGGTACTGACACAAACTTTTGGGAGTATTGACGGTCAATAACTATTTCGAAGACTCAGCCATTTCAACTTGAAGGCATGCATCCGCCAAGTCCATTTTTGCAAAATGCTTCCACCATTAAGTTTTGTGAAGATATCTTCTGGTACAGGCAGTGAATATGAATGACCTTCCAATGAATTGTTCAAACCTGTTGAGAAATCAGCACACAAACGTAAGGATCCATTGGCCTTTTAAACAACGGCTATTGGAGCTGACCAGGGTGAATATTTTACAGATTATCTACCACAGGTAGGGAGGGATATGGAACTGGACGTTTCGGTTTGAAACAGGTTGAACGTTCGGCCGCAGACATAAGACTTCTTTCTCCACCGTACAATATCCTAGGATTTCACTGAATACTGAACTATATTTCGACTTAAGATGATTGGTAAGATAATTCACTACTGTAAGGGTGGATGTCTGAGTTGAGAGATAAATCTAAGAACAAATGAGAATTGGTGGTATATCCCACAATGACAGCTGCTCCATCTGATCAATCTAAATCATGACGATTTGCGAGGTAACATTTACCTCGAAAATTTTGAGATTTGGACGAGAATCACATTCAACTTCACCGACTAGTTTTATCAGATCACCGGACGCATTTCTGGCTCTAGAGATGGGTGGGGACCCAAGTGTACGCCCAGTATTGCGATAAATCAGAGTAATATTTGACCCAGTGTCAATCTGAAGTCTGACAGATATGCTGTATATCAAGATCTCACTATATTTCCTCTTTCCAGACAGATGAACACTCGAAACTTTAAAAGCGGTATGAATGTTCTTATGTGGGAATGATTTAGATCTCTTTACACAGGAAAGTGAAGTACTATGACTCCGGAAAAACCCGTCTATGTGACCGAAACGCTGATATTGCATTTACGGGGTGTGGCCCCCTAAGAAAACCACCTGCTTCTGTCTGGGCACCCGGGCAGTATCACAGCCCCCCCACACACACACACAAACATGGTGTGGCGCATATATATTTGGTGCCCTCTTGTACCAATATTTATGTGTTGAAATAAAAATAATTTTGTATGAGCATCTTTCGTCAGAATACTAACCACCAGAAAACCAACAAGCTCCTTTCAACCTTTGTAAGTGACTAGTCGTACTGTGAAATTTCCATCGATGCTATGATTTCAGGGTAAATATATTTACTGCATATGTAACTCTTTTGTTTCCAATTAGTTTCATGTGAGAATTACAAAGGTTCTTCGTTCTTTCAAGTATAAGAACAAGCGAGGCGAATACAACAACATTAGTATCACTAAAACTTATGCAATAAAGTACGTCTTAAAGTGGATCACTTTTAAAGTTACCAATCGAATATCTTGTCAGTGAATAACCTTAAGACTTGTAATGTTGAAAAATGGTTTATTATATGTAAGTCTGATAAGAAAAACTGAGAACTACTATTTGTGATTACATGTATAATTAAATGAATTAGAAATAGTCAGTCAATGGCAATTGGACTAAAGAGGGAGAGAGAAAAAAACAAACGGTTTATGTTACCAACATACACAAATAATCACGTGAAGTAAACAAACACTATGCTAATGAGATTTAGTTTTTTTGAATGAATAAAAATTTTAATGAAGATGATAATAACATGTAAACATGTAATGCACTCACCTTACTTTCTACATGGTATTGTACATAGTAAGGCACTGGATCAAGAGTAATCCATTTTATTCCTAAATGTTCATTAAACGAATAACCTGGAGGTAGGGTAGCTAGACGCATTTCATTCTATAATTGAATAAAGAAATGCATGAAAAACACGAATCAAACGATAAATAATTTAAAGAAGACGTATAAATTTAAAGTAAAATTTATAGTCTTTTCCAACATAAGCTTCAATCATTACGTCTACTGAGGTATACGTCTCATCCTAGAAATCTACATATGTAAGTTCGTTGATCAGGACAAAGAATCATATCGACTGAGTGTGACAGTTTCTACTCATGGTGTTGTTTGGTTATACAAACCTTGGTACATGAGGCAGGATTTAAATCGATGAATAAATGTTTGAAAGGAAAGTGTTGTCGTCGATAAATCAGAGTTTTACAAATTAGGAAGTACCCTACAGCTGTTTTTTCCCAGTCTAAGATATTTAGCTAAAAAACATATCAAGTCGGGAGCTTAAAGGGGTATTTATTATTGGTTCTAGAGAAAGAATGCACTATGACGTCTTAATGGAAGTCACTTTAGTCCTAATAGTTATAATAAATCTTATGATAAAAGACATTGAACAATAGTGCTTTGCCATTCGGCAGCCAACATATCAAGAGTAACAGTCAATTAGTAAAAAAAAACATAATGAACTTATATTTATAAGGAAAACGTATGAAAACAAGTGTATTAAAATGAAGTTTTGGACAAAGAGAAACGATTGCGTAATGTTTCTGATTTAAAATTTATAATGCGACTGAAAATCAAAAGTAATGCTTACACATGCAGGTAATGAGCCGCACACAAATTTCAAACATGTTGGGCGTGAGACATATTATCGATAGTAACGTGTGAAAGTCGAATAGAATCGTAAATCAACTGAATGTACAAATGTGGGCTATTTGATGTCAACTTAAAGGTCATAACGACAAACACTTACTGTGAGGCCCGACATTCCTGAGCTCAATCCTTGAAGGAGTGATAGATATGTACCAGTGAGGATACCTATACTAGAACAAAATAACCAATCGGTACTGCCTAATTTGAACGATTGTCTAGCTAAAGTCAGTCCGTGATGTAAACTTTTAGTTCTTATATTTCTTGGGAACAAATTGCTGATGACGTGGTGTGCTACTTTTGGAAAACATCGTTTTAAATTCCCCTACTTCAGGAATAAACTATAGTGCATAGCCGTTGTGATCACTATATTTGACAGTTCAATTTACCATCCGACAAAAATGTTTCATTCTATTTTTAGTTAATCTTTAACGTTAGTGGAAAAAAAAAACAGGGTCAATAAACATTAAGTAACAAGCGTAGAAACTAACTTACAGAGAATGTGAAATAGACAAATCCTGAATGACAAATTTCTGCATTCAATGGTGCGAAACTACCCATTATTCCATCGATTGAATGTGGAAATACACGAAGTTGTCCCGATTCTGTAGCAAATAACCAAATAGGATTTCCTCCACATACAAATACACCACGATGGTCTCCAATATTTTCGAAACTTCTCAGCATATGTGTTCTGGTTAATAATGTGGACTGTGAAAATGAAATAATAAATAAACAAACGTAAATAACACATTTACTAGCATGGTTTAAGTTTGCTAAGTGTGTTTAGCATATATTACTACGGTTATTTTTAAGCAAATGTGAAAAATAACTCAATCAACAACTTTATAATTTAATTGTTTTTATTTTGTGGTTAGAAATATGATAAAGTAACGAAACGAAAAGCCAATTAATTAAGCGAACAAGCAGATAATTTCTTGAAAGATTCTCACATACTGTATGCACAGATTGTCTAGTAAAATCATGCATTCGGCGAGTTTTTTTCCAACGCATTCAAAACCATCGCTGCATCACACAAACAAAGAATGGAAGGTGACACTGGGGAACATGCATTACATCAACACAAAGGGGACAAAAATCACTCTAGTTACATTGACTAATTTTAAGATGACTCATTTGTTTTTATTACTATACTAACTAGTCAATAAGTTGTGTTGAATAGGCCAAGGACATACTCTATTTTACATGATTCACTGAACACATACAGTGACATACAGGCTCATTTAGTTATTTTGGTGCCAACTCTATCTAAGCATTTATTTCTAAAGAAAATCATTCTGTTGTTATTGCATTATATGAATTGCATAATGTAATAGTGAAGCTTATATAAATATTTTGGGACCTTATTAATTTAAAAGCTTAGGGATCGAGCCATTTAATCAAGACAATGTGTAACTGACTAAAAACATACGTTCAAGCTAAAATGTTTCTTAGCCCTTTCCACACCAATTCTATTGACATAGTACGGGGCAAAAAATAGGATATATACCTGAACATCCATAATTTTCGGATCAGTTCGGACACGACGTGGTGCAACAAGTGGACAAGGTAAAGGTAAACGTCTCCAGCGTAATCTTCCTTCATAAAATGTTCCAGAAATAAGAGGATGCGCTTCATCTGGTAAAGGGCATAATGCTTCAAAAAATGCTATTTCTTGACTAGTTCGAACCTTGATAAAACAACAAAGGTAAATACTTTCTTGATATACTTTACGACAAATAACTACGATTACGACATCTTTTGTGCAAAGAAAGCCAATATACAATTAGTTAGCTCAAGTTCATGTTTTCACTCCAGTATAAGGATTCTATTCTTATGCTTTGAATATACACAATACAGATTTGTTGTATATTATTATGGACAGGATAAGAATCACTGGTTGGAAATCTGCAATTTTATGGGTTGAAATTAATCGCGATTGATAAGCGTAGACACTTTAAATTCATATCACATTCTTTCATGCAATATCTTCCGAAGTACATCTATAGTTACTTTATGTTGTGATTCAATATAGTGTACCAAATTTAGTTAGACACCCTTTGAGAATCACAAAACAAAAGACAACGTTATCGGCCCAGTCTAGATCTTCTCAGTAGTATGCATTTACGAGTTCACCAGGCATTGAATCTAGGACCTTCAAGCATTAAGACAAACCTTCTTGATCGGAAAGTTGGCATCCAATGGTTTGCGTGACCGTTGTTAGTATTTGTATGGCACTCGATGTCACTAAACACCAATGGTAAAAGATTTTCACTAGCACTATGGAAATTTTTTCAAAATGTTAGTCACCAGTAAGCTTATGATTATTTTTTTTTACTATAGGGGATAGAGGAGATTGCTGAAGGGTGTGATTTTACATAACGGATCGACTCTAGTTTATTACAATCTCATCAGTAAAAGTGGCTATCTAAATGTTATGGTTACAAATAATTTGTAGGAAAATGTAAGATCTTTTCTTATAAAAGAACTACAATAATAAATTATGTAATTCCCTATTGTTTATATGTATTTTCTTAACTTATGTGTTGATATTTCCATGTCAGAAACCCACGACTGAATTTTTGACAACAAGATAAATTATTCGCTTTTTGTATATAAAAAAATACATTACAGTGCACTTATAAAATAGTTAGAAAAAAGGAGAATATATTCAACAAGTTTTTTTAACTATCAATGACTTTGTAGATATTATTGGAATGAAATGCAAATTTATGCTGTTTTGTATGCAACTACATTTGATTCAAGTGTTTATTTTTTGTCGAGTAATATACAGAATAAAATTACCAATGAAAATTATTTGAGATCTAAATCATAAAAGAATACAACTTGTATTGGTCAGGTTCAAATATATACAATCAACGATACTATACATTTAGATAGTATCAAATAAATTAAGTATCGAGTAGAGAGTTAATAGTAAACACATTTTCACAATATTCTTATGTGTAGAAATTGTAATTTTGACGTTTAGTGACTTAATTTAAGTCAATTCTTCAGAGTAAATAAACAAAAAACGAAAAATAACATGACATAGACATGCTCATACTTATTATGATTTGGACCGTACTAAAAATATTCTGCTTTGTTTCCTGTGTACTATGTAAACTTGTATCAATTTTATTTCGGCTACTTATTTATTTACTCAGAAGAAGTAACTTAAAATAAGTTGCGAAACGCCAGAAATACAAATTTATACTCGTTGGGATATTGCAAAAATATATTTGTTGTTAAATCCTACACCTGTTATGTGTGAGCCCCAACAGTACCTTGGTAAGTAAGAGAAAAGTTTGAAATCATTGACATATTGAGTTAAACAGCCTACCAACAAGTTTGAATTTTATCACTAACAATCAAACAAATATCCTGTCAATAATATGGATATTTGATACCTAATATAATATTCACATGACCACTTATTTTTAGTAAACCGTGTAACATTTATAAATGATAAAAATGATAACAATCATATACTTCAGTGTATTAAACAATGGGTTTTAAATTATTCAGTATGACTATACGTGATATTCACTAACAGTGTGAAGTTTGTATATACTATTCGATGAAGATTAACAACCTCATCAACTGATTTACCATCATTCCCTAACACCCTGCGTTTAACCTCACTATTACTTACCAGGTGATCCCAACAGACGCCAGCAATATTTCTAAGGCATCTGTGGTCAAATACTAGTAGCTTACGGGTGTCTTCTACTCTTAAAGGCCATGTTTCGCTGCCGTAAAGTAAAACAGAACGAACTGCCGAGCAGTATACTCGTCCTTTTATTGATAGACGGATATCTAACCTTCGCCAAAGGTGACGTAAGTTGGCAAAAGCCAAACGAGCTTTTCGAATCCGTGCTGAGATTTCGTCTGATACCAGCCCATTAGGGCTGATCAGACTTCCAAGATAAGTGAAGTTGTTGACGCGTTCGACTACTTCACTCCCTATCCCTAGTTCAGGTGTTGACGCAGGCCTGTCTAGGAGACACTAGACAGACTTCTAGTTTTCCCGACTCAGTAATATTCTTAGTTCGTAGACGATACATGTATTTCACAGCTTGGTGATACAAAATATACTTTAAAATTTAGTTAGTGATATTCCTGAAGACAAACACAAATAATCAATTAATTATGAGGATTTTACATTGATTGGTATGTAACCACTAATTCAGATAACTAGGCGAAATCAATCATTATATAAAGAACAAGTTTAGTAAGTAAAAACTACAACAACAGTTTTACTGCTCAAAGCATTACTATACTCATGTTACAAACGTTTCATGTTTAGAAATGTTTTTTTATGTCAGGTAATCGACGCTTTTACATGACAATTTTACGAGAGCTTACTTTCTAATAATAAGTAGTACAGTCAAATAAACTAAATAGGCACGTAACCTGAACAAATAAAAGCGAAAACAGGTGATAGTTTTAAAATTTTGAACTGTAATGTAGTTACGTGATCATGTTTGGAGTTGCGGGTTGGCATACATTAGGAAAACTTAATTGTTGACGGTTGTTTTATTACATTAAAATATAAATTGTCCGTCCAGTAAGTATGAGAGATCCGTTTATTATAGTTTTTTGTCTTCCAGATTCGTGAAGTCCAATTTGTAAAGAAGTTTTGCTCTTAATCACCGATAACAAAAATTTAGTGTTATGTTGGATGGAGGCTGAACCTCAGAAAAACCAGACAGAATATTATCTTGATGAAAACACATGTTGTATGAGTAATTTCTCCATTCCTCATTGAGTACTATATTTCTTGTATAAAAGTAGCAATAATAAATAATAAAAAATTAGCCTACCATTAACACTGGGCGATCTTTATCGATTCCGATAGGATAGACAAGAATTTCCAAAATTGACGGTGGTATACTTTCGTCTTCTGTATATGGTACACTGAATTTATATATTTAAAAAAGTTGTAATACGAAATAATATATATCATTAAGAGAAAGAATGCTTCATTTGTAAGAAACATTTTGCAAAATATAAACGTTTATACATTTAATCTACACTATAATGTTATGCTATACTATTAATGTACATGAATAAGTAAATGCAACGTTATATTAATTAAATAAAATATTTACGAAAAATGTCCCAGATAAGTTTAACTAAATAATTTATATATAAAATATACAGTTTTGTTAATTATAGTGTTACAACCGTGGTTCTACTGCTAACACTTGAAACCGGAAAACCACTGCAATTTCACGACGTGAACGTGAAGACAAGTGCATCAGATTCTAGTGACCATCGAAAATACGTCGTCTTGACCAAAAAAAGTACACTCATTTACATATATAACTTTTACACACACTAGATGATTAGTTAAAGATACCACATGGAAAATACAGCGACCGAACGTAATTAAAACTAAACTGATGCAATATATTGATTTGAATTACATGTTGCATTTTTCGTCCCCATTTTATCATATACCAGCGGTAACGTTATCATATGTATCTTGAACTGGATGCTGGCATATAACTGAATACGTTAAATTTAAAGGAGAAACTGTTTAATACGTACTGATATCAAATGATAGCATCTGCAACTGAATCAGGATAATGTTAATATTGATGTCAATATTTAGCTACATTAAAAGTATGTCTGTTTTCCATAACTTATAATTTCAAGCCCGTTAAGTCGGAATATACCATGGATGTATCATATAAATTTTGCAAACTTTCTCCCAATATGAACTACTAAGGTTTAAGATTAAAAAAATTAAGAAGTTCGTTTAACTGAAATTTAATGTACCACTAGAGTCTTCCATCATTTACCAATCTCCAATATATCAACATCTATGTAGTGAGTGTAATAAAGTAATCAATGACTTAAAAATAAAATCAACTTTATAATGGAAGCGTAAATTATTGACTACGTAGAAGCTTAATACAGCTGACACTTCAAAAATGTAAAGGTTTGCCTTGTGTACAACACAAATAGCTTTGACAATATAATAAACTAAACGTGGGAACTTCGCAAAACAAATTTAACACAATAATCGACCAGCTGAGAAAATAGATAGTGAAAACAATTTACTCACACAACACAGAATAACTACATGTTGATCGGTTTTAAATCAAGATAAAACGATAGAAAACAAATATTTCTAATTATTCAAAAGGAAAAAATTACTTTTGTGAGTTTGTATACGGCTTATGAAGTTGTTCACTACTTACACCTCGATGATCTATCAACATTTGTGGAAGATCTGTGAAATGATGGACTTCATATAGTAAAGTAAAATCGGGTAAACTATAAATCTGCAGAAAAAAATATGTAAACGTGTGTTAACACGATATTTAAAGCAAATATAAACCAAGTAAAACAGAATATAATTTTGGAGAGTTTTACATCAATAACATTTTTTTAGTCATATCACTAATTTTGATCGGATACATTTCAATGCTTGGTAATGATATTCAAGTGCCGAACACCTTATTGGGGATCAGTGGGTGGAGTTTCTCAGTCGTCTAACTGAAACTAAGGAATTACAACGAGTGTTTTTTAGAAATGTAACTCATTAAGTATAGCTTTGTGTAAACTGCTGTGAGTCGCACACTGTGTAAAAACTAGTGATCCTAGCCAGCCGCTCACAACAAAATAAATAAAGAACTGTTTAAAACAGAAAATTTTAATCATAAATCCACTGCTGGTAATAAGTTGACAAGAAAAAAATGTGTAGAAAGATTTTCTGCAGAATAGATGGTTTTCGATTAGCACTGGAACCCCAGATGAGCGTTTCATCTTATGCGGGGCTCTTCAGCCGGACATACATGGATCCCAGTGTTAACAGTTACACTAAGACTTGGACCTAGTACCTTTCACTTCAAACGTCAGACGCGCCATCTACTGAGCCTGGGTGGTACATAATTTGTGCAAAGTGTATGATAATTATATCATTAGTAAAAGAGCTTTGAAATATCCTGTTGTGATATTCTTGACTGAATTCCGGTCAGCCTTTACCAAAGCCGAGATAAATTCAACGTCTCTACATAAGAGGTAAGCTTGGATGAATATGAGGATGATATCTTTTGAAGAGGCCATAATATAAATAATATGAACAAGAACATAGAGAAAATACTAAGACCGAAATAGTTAACTATTTTCATAGAAAAGAAAGATGGCTTAAAAGTAACATCGACCAAACACTTTTTCTGTCAACTGAAGAAATAGTGGATGATTATGAAGTCGTCATAAATAAAATCAAAGTAAAATTAAACTACAGCTATCGTCATTAACGATATCGTCATTAGGCGAGAGGAGGAAAATAATTAGATCAATGGTTGGACTTTACAGTAGACTTTGGATGATGTTGAAGAGAATTATTTGATTTTAGTTTGTTTATCCAAAATGCAATGAACATTAATAAAATATCACGATCTTGATAAGGTTTCGAACATAGATACTTTAATATGACAGTAGACAGAATATGAAAGTGTTCAGTACACTGCTCGAAAAACCACGTTTTAATGAGATTTGTCGGTTAAACATGAAAACAAACACTTTTCTACTCGTTAATTTTATAACCGTTGTATATGAGTATTACATGATTATACACGAAGCAGAAAAGTTCGGAGGTCGGAGCACAATCTTTTAATTAAATGCCTGAGTAAATACAATGTATCAAAGTAGGAATACAGAAGAGATTCAACAATGTATAGTATTGTCAACTTTGTTAATGTTATATAAAAGCAACAAGTACTTACTTCAAGCACACCATTGGTGAATACAATAAATGCGAAATACTTCGACAGTTTTTCTTCTGTTAAATCATCCATACTAAGAGAAAAGAGAAAATATAAACTTATTCTAACAATGAATTGTTTCATACTAATTGCTAATTAAATTGTTAAATCTAACAGATGAAGGCAGTGTTTAGTTGGTATTTTGAATTGGATTCAGGAAATTTCAACAATAAAAAAGGAGCCTGCACAATAGAATAACAACCAGGTGAAAATATATGTACTGGTTTGTAGTAGTAGGAGCAGTTTTGGAAGCTACAATTTCAAATGTCATTTATCCGAGAGGAGAGGAAAAAAGTTCTCTATTTATGAAATGATAATACAATATATGCGTAATAAATACTATTTTAAACACTTGTTCGATGAAATTGTACAAAAAACAAAAAGAATATATAAATGTAAGTTTGACTGTAAACACTGGCTTTTATTTACTAAGGAAACATAAACATTTTTACCGACAACCAAGTTTATCAATAAGATTTGACTTAAAGTTTCCATTTGGCTTCATCAATCGACGAGTCATGACAATATGTATTAATGAAGGGTGTACCAACTAAGTGAAGAAAATATCGAGGTTGAAGTCATATTACTGACTGTACTGGGTTGTAGTGAGAGTAAGATGTTTCACTCGAACATTTATTCGTTTATAACCTTGACCGTTTTTATACGAGCATATGTGTGTTTATCACTTACTCTATTCATTATGTCTGGCTAATTTATCTGACTATAAATAGTGAGTCACACTTTATCAAAACGAGTTGGCTATTTCTGGCACTTCAGTTGGAGTGCACTCCTCTTTCCACCATATCATTGATCTGCATTAACGAATGTCTGAAATATATGTTCCACAAATCCTTTCGTATTCAATTTCTCGTATCTAATTTGTTATTAACCGGATTAAGATATATAAATTTCATTAACGTCAAGGTTATTCTATCATATGGAGTGAGATCAGGGGCCACTAAAATCTAAAGAAGCCTGCTATAGACTGTTAAGTCAAATTCCCTCAGTTGAACCTGAGCTTACGACGAAAGATCACCAGGACAGACAATGTCAATCAATCTCTTGTCTGCAAACTCATTGAATTAAAGTACATAAATGATACAGTTATTTTTGATGCACATTGTTTTAAGCCGGGTTGTAGTAATAACGAGGTAACGTTTAAAGACTATTTTAATTATCTACTACTTTTGTTCACTATTTATTTATTTAATTTTAATAATACTACCCTTACTTTATTTTCTCAATCTCCTCATCACTTCACTTCCGTAATTATGTAGTTAATATTTATTTTGGTGCTCAGATGCATTAGTGTTCATGTGTAATACCATAATAAAAAGTAGGAATCCAGTCATATATTTGAGTGCCATCAATACTACTCGGTTACCAACACCGAAATATATGTGATGGGATTCGAACCAACTACCTGGTGATTGAAAGTTGAATGATTTAACCGTTAAATATAATTGAAAATAAATTCAAATCACGAAAAGAGTTAACCTACACATTAGCTTCCGTCAAACTATTGTTTAAAGATGAATGAGGTGTAGTAGACAGAGAAAATTTAGGTGGTTGCAATGTACTATTACCAAGCGCTACAGAACCTTCTCTTTTACAAATTTCAATTGGTTCACCATAAAGTAGAATACTTTCTTCTTCTGATGCACTGATCAACTGTGCGGATTTCCTGAACATAAGAAACAAAATGTTACAAGAATATACTAAGTACAGGTTGAATTGGATGGAGTAATCTTAATTATTAAAAATCAAACACCAATACTTACTCTGTTGGTGAAGCGAATGGTGCTGCGAAATCCGCAGCTGGAGTAGTTGACCCAGGTTCTGGCCAAGATGTAATTCCTGGACAAGAAACTAAGTGATCCACAGAAGCAGTTGTGTGTAGGTTGAAAAATGAATTGTCAGCTGGTAAGTCTTTACAAGCCCAAAGCCATCGAGTTAAACGTCCAGCATAATCATGATATAAACTGAAACAAAGCGGTGCAGATACCTAAATATAAGAAAATGAAATGCATTCATGATTTATTGAATGACTATACTGATTACATTGCAACTTCATTTAAAGATGACTATTAACTCAACCAATTATCATCAGAAATTTGATATGAGATATGTGAAAATTTTCTGGGGTTATGGCTAACAAAAAATTAGTGGGAGTGCAAATACACATGAAGATAATAGGGTTTTTAGGACAAACAATCACAAACCAAGTTATTAGAACGGATCGATTGAGTAGTTATGGGATGCATCTGAGAAGCTCACTTCTATTTGGAACAAGTGTCGATGATGATGGTGCCTAGGATCCTAATGAAAAAACACAGTTAAGAGAACGCGACATCCTTAAACTTTCCGAAACTACCATTTATTACAATGACTTTCAATTTGATACATTATTTATATGATTTACCAATAATTATATCTTTATTCTAGCATCTTTTAGAAGGTTCCATTCGTTTGAAGGTAAACAATAAACTTTGGAGTGAAATCCGAAAACTAACAGCAAATATTCTCCCAAGTTTTATACTTTAAGAACTGGTTAAGTAACAATAAATGAGAGCAAACTGCAAGTTATTTAAGAAAATATTTAGAAAGCGTTACAAATGAACAAACTTCTATGGGATATTAATAGTTCAGTCGACTGAAAATTGGTTATGTGATTCAATGATCAATGTTTCGAATCCTTGCGGGATTCAACTTCAGGTCAAAATTCAATAATAACTTTTATAAACAACTATGATGATTTGACAAAAAATATACTAGAAAAATAAGACAGAATCATTATTTTTTCTTACCTGTTTAACTTTCGGTCTGATCACTTCTAAATGAGTTGTAGATATTGATTTTGCAGGTTGATCACCATTTTCATCGATTAGTGTAGATGTAATAACTTTATTATTTGACTTTTTTATTGGACTAAATCTATTAATGTCATCTTGACTTTTTAACCGTACTAAAAATAATTCATCATCTTCAGTACATAATAAAATATAAGGATCAGCACAACTAGCTAAATGTATACGCCATTCTAATGTCACTTGAACATACTCTATAAGTCTTGGACCATCAAGTAAACGTAAAGATGTAGGTGAAACCTATAAGCATGAACAAAATAAAACAAACATACGCGTTTAGAAAGAAAAGTTTACACAATAATGAAGCAACGTAATGTCAATGAAGTGTTTAAGTAATAAACATCAGAATATATCAAAATTAACAGGTATCTACAGTTAATGAACAGAGTGATCACTAAAAATCCAACTTTTCCCCCTCTATAAAATAGCTTATCAGAAAAAAATGGTATAACACTGGAATGCTTTTTGCATAGATTAGAGATAATGATAAATATTTGAAAATCTAACTAACCTGTAATATGTAGGGATAATCAATTCCCACAATATATTCTTTAGGAGATTTCATTTCATTTCGTTTGGTTAACTTAGTGGTTGCAAAATTAGTCAATTGATCTGGTATATTATCAGAATCATTATTGTTTTTATTTGTTTCTCGTCTAACTTGTTGAATGTATTCAAAACCCAAATTGAATGCACCCACAGTCATTTCTGTAGTATTGAATCCACTTACTTCAAGTTCCACTATTTCATGACTCACTTCAAGAATCTTTAAATTATAAAAGTATATACAAAATAACAAATTACTGCTGTTCATTAAACATTTTGATAGGATTAAGTATAACTATTCACTTTATGTTAGTAGATATTTATTTAGAAGAGTTGTGTAGGTGATATTAATTGTAAATTACATAATTCTTCTAGATAATATGAAGTATTTGAGTTATTACTTTAAACTAATCTGATAAATCGCACTGACGGAAAGTCATGCCGCACCTTACAGAGACTGAACACAAAGGAACAAATTTTATTGTATGATTAAACAATATAAAAATAATTAACAGATTGAACTTCGATCAACTTATTTTCCTATACAAGTTGTATTATTATCGACATAGAACATTTCAGAATACAGTGAAACCATGTCACTATTGAATCATGATTTTTATTGTCAGTTTTCATTTACTTATGGTAATCTTAGTAATTTTTTGCATACAATTCGTCATATTCTGAATTTTAGATTCACTGAAACATAGTGATTAAAGATTTAGGAAAAGGTTTAATATTCAGTTGTATATTTTTCGCAATTCGATTGGACTAGACTTTTACTTAGTCTTTCAAAAAGATGGGTAATTGTAATTTTTAGTCTATATGAGTGATAAACAATAACTCAAATAATGTGGATTCGTGAGACGATTTATTCCGTAGGTTATTAAACTAAAACAATCCGTACCTGGAACAAATATGCGTCGTCTCCAGTTATCCCATTTAGCGTAGTTCATAAGCCAAGCATAAGTTTATGGTACTCAACTTTGAGCCATACAATTTATTTGTGTGAGCTGATGATACCACCTGACCACCCAAACCAAAGTAGATGGAGGTAGGTTTGAACCTGTGACCTACTGGTTGAACGCTGAGCGCTTTAAACACTAAATGAATTATTCTGTATATCCATATATATATATATATATATATATATATATATATATATATATATATATATATTTATTTATTTATTTATTTATTTAACATGTGTTAGTACAAAAATGTTTCATGAAACTTTTCGAACGCCGACATTACATACATCAGTAACGTGGGTTAAACGATAGTAAAGCTGTCAGTAATTGGTGTTAAACTTCAATAGAAAAAGATAACCTTGTTTATAGCTAAGTATCAAAGTCATGTATTGAATTGTTGCAAAAACTGTATCCACTACGAGTAAGATGATATCGGGTTTTCAACAGCTTTTTAATGAATATTAACTTTTGATAAATAATTATTTGGAACTTGTTGGAAAGTTTAATATGTCCTCTCTTTTTAATATTAATTTTTACATGAAAATTTAGTGCAAATAATAAGCAGAAAATAGACAATAATGATGAAATTACAAATGAAAAATTATATACAGTAAGTGCATATAAAACTCAGAAATGTAGGATACAAATTAAAACTGTTAGGTGAGTTTTTTTATATAGTTTTATGGAAAGAGATATTACTTATTACTGGGTCTTCCAGAAGGTGGTAACATGGACAAGGCCAGAGACAATTAGTGATGATGTGAGAGGTAATTATATGAATCTCTTATGGCTACTCGAAATCACTTAATGGTAAATACAGCTAAACGCTACACTATATTATTTATCTCAATTACTAAATTGGTAACCATTGGTTAGAAACAAAAAAATTAGTAGTCTAGACGTTACAAAACGAACCATACCATTGTAGAATCTTCTCTAGTCAGTAAAAGATAACTATGTGTTAGATCATTAGATAGCTCCGATTCTGCATCAAAATTGTCTTCATTTACAACTTTTTTTTCATTTTCATCAGATATATTTACAACTGGTTCATTATCCTTAGAAGTTTCTTTGTCTGTATCATTATCTGTAACTGGAACAAAAACAACAAGAGAAGCGAGATTCAATAAAACAAAGTTATGTTAAACAGAATAGAAGACCTATATGATGAACTATCTCTATGGTATGAAGTGAGCTATTGATAAAGCGTGATAAACACTATTGGTTCTAGCGTAAGCAGTCAAGAGGAAGGAGGAAGGTATATTTGTTGTGAGAAGTTACTAAGTATTTATATAATACATATACATAACCTTTAATCATCCATTTGCATTTTTGGTGTGCTCTGACAACTCCATGCTTTGAGTATACAGAAACACTTCACTCCGACTGACAATTGTTGTAACTTTGATGCCACGACCCGCTATATACTACTTACAAACGACCCCGTCAGTATCGTCCACGACACTAGTAAGGTGAGAACAAGTGACTTTTTCCCCTTCTCACAATTTTAGAAATTGTTTCTCTTTGACAGAACCTAAAGAAAACCAAAATCATCTTAATTACATAAGGAGAAAATGCAGAGCTCAACCAAAACCAATCATTTTGAGAATATTTGATTTTAAACTTAAGAATGTGTCAACATGTTTTAGGATTATACAATTAACAACGGAACTCCACGAAGTAAGATGATATTTTTAACTCTCCCCTCAAAAAACGAGAAGACATTGTCTCTCAGTATACCGGTTTTCTTTAAAAAACACTTCTACCAAAATGTCTCGATAAAGTCGCGGACACGAATTTATCAAGTAAATTCTAACATTTTCTTATGTCTCCATACAACGGTATGAGCTCAAGAAATGAGCATTTCATTCAATTTCGGTAAAATGAATCATAACGATAGGAAACTCGTATTTTTCTTAGTCATGATAGTATCATTTACTACTTACAACAATGTAACCAATTACAACGTATAATTTTTGAATAATTCAGATACTTTTAATTATGGAGATTTGAATTCTTACTAGAAACATTTAAGTTATAACAGTAATCCATTGCAAATATCGATTCACATTGACAACGGATTAATAATTGGGAGGTATGAATAAGAGTTTACCTGGGAAAAAAGTGAAAATATTCCTTAACGAACACGTATACTGGCTAACCAGTGTACAAGATCTCTTATTAGTTAAATTTGATAGGAAGTTATGAATCACATTATGAATAAAGGTTACAAAACTTACTGCATTCAGTGACACCTGTAGTTTTCTCAGTATCTTCGTTGAGTTCTGTTGGTTTTTCTACTAAATTCTCATCTATCTTTTCTTCTTCTGAATGAATGTTTGGTATTTCTAGTTTTCCGTTTGAAGCTGTGGTTGGACTGCCGTTTGTTCCAATTGAAGGTTTACTAACAGGAGAGGTAGGAATGCTTTGAACAGGAGTAACTATAGGTGGACCATAAAGGGACCATAAACTCATATATTCAGGCAATTCAAAAGCAGTTAAACCTCTTGGTCTTACACTTGTATGCAAAAGTGCTACACCTCCACCAGAAACCGGATTCTTCTCAGTTGGTACATTAAATGAACGTGGTATACATGCCATTAACTCAACATGGTGCATCTCTGCTTGTGCATAAGTAAGAGCCTCATCTGTAGGATCAGTATTACCAGGAGCTAAACATGGAACTTCACCAGACGTTAGTTGTCCCATTGGTCCCAAATTGATCAATCGGTCTACTACCTAGAAAGAATTGAAAAGAATGTTGAATATATGCAAAGCATAAAAAGTACTTTTGGGAATTCGCCGGTGTTTTCACTACACAAAGATTTTGTATCCTAAACAAATAAAATGATAGTGACTCCATAAGGTTTTTATGTAAACATTTACGTTAAGTTTAAAATGAATCGAGTTCTAAAACATGCCTAGCCGTAGAACTTTTCAAAATAATTTCTTCAGAGAATGTAAAACTAGGCAATAACTATGTCAAGATGAGCATTACGTAAGATGGACAGTAGCTTACACCTATAAGACTCCATTAAAACTATAAACGAAAAGCATTTAATCTGAAAATCTCAGGCTTCTTTGAAATACACTAATCCATATGGACAGACAGCAACTCTATAGAATAAAATTTTATAGTCTCACTGAAATGGAAAAGGGTATGAGAAAAAAACTTACTTTAAAACTATAATTAATAATTTCTCGATAAATCGAAGGCGGACTAAGAATACTTTCACCATAGAGTTCAACATCGACGTCATCAAATTTATAATGATTGTCTGATACGATATCACTTTCATTTAGTGTATTCCTTTTTGTACTTTGTGATAGCGACTTTGATATCATCTTGTCGTTTTCTCCTTCTCTTTCTATACGAGGACATTTATTAGGAATCTAAACGAGATGAAGATCAAAAGATGAAATTAAAACAGAAATGTCACACGAAAAAAACACATATAATCAAATGTATAATAATTAATAGGATATATTTTTATGATTATTATAGAATTTACGATCAACAGAAAATAATCTTACTACTACAAAATTAACTTATAAACTAATATCTGATTTTTATGTTAGATGATTGAAAGTAATCAACAAAAACGCCTAGATCTACGTTTTTGCTAGACTGCTGTTTTTAAGTAAGTTATATCTACAATCTACAGTGAACCAATAGTCCCTACCAGATTCAAATATACATCATCTAGTGTCACAAACAAAGACGATAAAATTGAGTTACTCCAGAGTTGGCTGATTTGTCATAGAAAGCATATTTTCGTTAGATATTGAAACTCTAAAACAAGCAAAATAATAAACTATATTTCGAGAATTTATTTTGGCCCAAGATATGCTTAAGCCTAGATCAAGGTGAAACTATGTATTACATCCGTCAGGGTTGAAACATGCACTGATATTAGTAAACAAATAGAAACATGGTTAGTGATTAAGAGAAATCACTGCACTGTTGGAGATCTACATGAGAATGATTATCATCAGATAATCCGATAAAAGAAATAGATTCCACCTGTCTCGATTTGGGCACCCGGGCAGTATCACAGCCCTCACACAAATCAAATGAGATTTGTATGGCGCATATTTATCTGGTGCCCCTTTGTACCAATATCCATTTCTTTAGGTGTATGGAAGGAATGTGAATGTTGGTGTAAGCTACAGAACAGGCTGTTTGAGGTTGTTCCGTAAAGTTTGTGTTTCTTAAAATATCTTTTCGGCTACAACTGATTATTATATGATGAGGCGAATACATAAATTTTAAAAGCACACTTTATAGCCTTTTGTTCTCCATCATTTAGTTCTATCACTGTGTGGCCGTACATGTTGAGACATTAAATGTCCTCGGTTTTATTGATTTCAACTACGTTTATTGATTTGATGAAATCTTAAGCAATTGTGGTTTCAGCCATTACAACTTGGTTAGTTAAATGGTTTGGTTAAAAATATCCGGTCAGAACTTGGTATCAATAAAACAGAAAATCTACTAAAACGCGTAAAGGGACCAAAATTTCGGTTGTAAGCCTAAAACATACGGATTTTACAGTTTTTTTTAGATTGGTTATTATATAACTTAATTACTTAGTGAATAATACTGAAACGTAAGCGATTGGAATATTTTGGCTGTCAATAAAGAAACTAACCTCATCGGAATCGTCTTCAACAATACTTTTGCCATCTGCAAGTTTTGAATTCTTTAACGTATTATTAGTACCACTAGATTGATCTAACAGCTGATGATCTACTTCTTTTCCATTTGCATCAACACATAATAAAGAATAATCGATTTTCATTAAGACAGAGTCGCAAAAGCGTGAACCAATGAATAAATATTTCGATTCTAGAAGAACCATCTGAAAAATTAGAAAAATGGGTTTTGAATATATGGAGTATTAATTGTTAGGATGACGCCTTATACTCCATAACATACTCTTTATTCATTTTAGACAATTAATATAGAATTAACTTAGCTGAAAAAATTGCTGAAATTAGAGACTATTACGAGTCAACTTATAAAAGCAAGCTGATATTTTCTCTACGTTTAGATTGGAAATGAACACAGCACTTACACACTGAGGAGGTACTGCGTGGCCAACTTTATGAAACAGCAAACTGGTCACAGTCTGAGTGGCTTGTTCAAGCCAGAGTGAGAGCAAATAGAGATTCCCAGATCGTGTACCAATCAAAAACTGTGTTTCATTTAAAGTAACTACACGACAACCGTCAATGCTTAACGGACCGCAAGATGGCACGTCTTGACCTACAAATCAAAAAAACGAAATAGGAACTTATAAAGTACGAAAAGTATAACAAGATTATACAATAGCATTACCCAAACATAATAATATTAGTTGCAAAATCATTAATAGTGCGGGAACAATAGAAGACTTTTTTCTGTTTGACACCCTCAAACGGTGTATATTGAGGAACCAGGACTTCCAAACCACGTAATGAGTGAGTACTATTCTATTACGCAGAATAGGTCTTTTTAGTGAGATTTCTAAATTATGAATAGATTATTTGAAGATGCATTATCAAACCACAATGTAAAATAATTGAAGAACTATCCTAACGGAGTAATGAAATGAGAATCGGCCACTTTTAAAACATCAGTCAGTCACGACATAGAACCTGGTACAGATGTATATCGGTTCAAGTTTCCATACTCCATTGGAATGGAGAGATGAAATCGTTAGGCCAAATCACAGAATAGTAGGGGTAGTAACACTATCAGTGGTAATATGAAAGATAATGCAGAGAAGATATGTCAGTCAGTCAGCAACAACGTAGAACTTCGTACGTACGTACGTCAGTTCGAGTTGTCACACAACATTAGCACACAGATGCAGTGGTCGATTCAAATCCCGTAGTGGTGGAGGTAATAAGATTATAAGCAGTAATCGGGAAAATTAGTGTTTGGAGATGTTACTTAAAGAGTATAATACAGTGAAATAAACTTGGAAAGATAAAAAAGAGACAAGGAGATCAAAATTTGGGAGAACACAAAGAGTGTATGCACCTGCGCCTTTGCAAACGATGTTGAGCCATGTCATTCAAGGTCTCTGACCATCGGTTGCTATCATCTCGCGGTCCCCAACCAGGTAGTCTACACCTACCAACATGACTCAGTCCACTTGTCAGTGACTTCATGAACTTGTGCCATGTTTTGGTCTGGCCGCCCCTTCCTTTCTTCCAACCTACTCCTATATCACTGAACATCGCACGTCGAGGCAGTCGGTCGTTGGGCATACGTAACACGTGTCCCAGCCATCTCAACTGATGAAGTTTCACTACTTCATCAATTGATTTGCCATCCTTACCTAGTACCCGTTTCCTAACAACTGCATTACTTACTCGATGGTCCCAGGATATACGAGCAATATTTCGAAGACACCTATGATCAAATACTAGTAACCTACGAATATCCTCTACTCTTACCGGCCATGTTTCACTGCCATAAAGTAGGACGGAACGAACTGCTGCACAGTAAACACGTCTTTTGGTTGATAGACGGATATCTCGCCTACGCTATAAATGACGCAAGTTGGCAAAAGCTAATCGAGCCTTCTGTATCCGTGCTGAGATTTCGTCACGCACCAGACCACAAGGGCTGATGAGACTCCCAAGATAAGTGAAGCGATCGACACGCTCAATTACTTTACTCCCTATCATTAGTTCGGGTGTCAATGCAACCCAATCCTGAAGCAACATTTTGCATTTCGAGGGAGAAAATCGCATCCCGAACATGCTTGCATTGTTGCTTAGAGTGGTCAGAAGACTCTGCATTTTGTCAGCGTCTTCACCAAATAGAACTATGTCATCAGCATATTTTAAGTCAACAAGTGAACCTCCCGGTAGAAGTTCAACCCCTGGAAATCTAGACGAGGAAAGTGTTATCTCTAAAAGTACGTCGACGACAAAGTTGAACAAGAATGGAGAGAGTGGACAGCCCTGACGAACACCACTTGAGGTAATCAATTCTGATGACAGTTCGCCATAAGCTCTCACTCTACCAGTTGTGTTCGAGTAGAGAGCCTTTATAAGGTTAATGTACTTCTTTGGTACTCCTTTCAGTGACAAACACTGCCATAGAACCTCACGATCAACAGAGTCGAATGCCGCCTTAAGGTCGAGAAATACTGCCATTGTGGGGCGTCTGAACGTGTCTGTATTCTAGAACCCGACGTAGTGTGAATATCTGGTCTATACAACCACGTCCAGGCCGAAAACCAGCCTGATTTTCTCTAGTCTGTTCTTCACGAGCTTTCGTTATGCGTCGAAATATTATTGAAGCTAATATTTTAGACACTATATTTGTCAAACTGATTCCTCTGTGACTGTCACAAGAGGACTTTTGTCCTTTCTTATAGACTGGCACAATCAGTGGTTGAGACCAGTCAGATGGGATTACGTCCAGTTCCCAAATTCTACCTAAGACCTCAGTTAATCTCACTGCTAATACTGAACCACCATCCTTAAAAATCTCAGGAGTAAACCTGTCAGGGCCTATTGCTCTCCCTCGCTTCAGATTTCCTATGGCTTTTTCAACTTCGTAAAGAGTCGGAGGACCTACATTAACTTGCCATTCAGGTTGAGTGGAGATCGTGGGAAACCGAAGTGTGGCTGAAGGCCAGTGGAACTGATCTTTAAAGTGTTCTACCCATCGATCCAATCTCCTGGATTGAGAATGAATAATATGTCCATCTTTCTCTGAGAGTGTTTCGCTAACAGTCGGTTTCCTTAACAAGTCTGAACAGTTGTCTGCTATTACCTATTGCCGCTGCCTTTTCCATCTCTCTTGCTTTCGCTACCCACCACTGTTCACGATCATTGCGTAGACTTCTTGTCAGCTTGCGCTTAAGCTGACGCCGCTCTTCATTATGTTCAGAGCCAGGAGGAATGAGTTTCCGAGCATCTATCAGTGCGATAGATCCTGCTGAGATCCAGTATTGCTCCCTAACCTTACGGGTTACCGTACTAGCAGATATCACTGCTGTTTCCACAGCTTTTCGTATATCATTCCATGCTGCATCGGGGTGGGCATCACATACATGGCTGCCTAACTGTTTTCCTAGTTGTTCCTGAAATATACTCTTAGCTTGACTATCATTAAGTAGGGCCCTAAGAGGTTTACTTGCAGTGTCTTTCCTACGTCCAGTAAGACGCAGACAGATACGCGCTCTTACTAGAGCATGATCTGAATCTAAGCATGTGCTCCAGAATGAGCGACAGTCTTCTATCGAGCCCCTCTATCGGTGGCTGATAGCGATGTGATCAATTTGGGTCCAACGTTGGGACGAATTTGGGGGTCGCCATGTTAAAAGATGATTTTCCTTATGCTTAAAGTTAGTATTTGCAAGGAACAGGCAGTTATCTGAGCATAGCTGCAACAGACGGTCGCCATTATTTGTTCTTTGAGCCACGACACCATAAGATCCACCTAGGTGTCTTTCCCTATCGCTTAGTTTACCTACTTGAGCATTAAAGTCGCCGGTCATTATTACTACATCAGAGCGCTTAGCTTTTCGGAGAAGGTCGGACAGCCTTCTGTAAAACTCATCTTTTACATCATCTGCGCTGCAGTCAGTGGGAGAATAGGCAGAGACGACGAAGAGGCAACGACGAGTATCCCTATCTTTTCGGATCCTTACTGTTCCGTTTAGTCGGACAGCGCATAAACGACTGTCTACTGGGATCCACTCTAAGAGACCTAATTATGCCCTAGGACTCAATGCTATACCTACGCCGGCGAGGCCACGGGAAGCAAAATCTGGACTTCCAGATACACGAAGTGTGAATCGAGTCGGTTCTTTATTTTGGCATGGTGAAGTCAAGTGAATGACGCTACTCGGATCCTGTATGCGCGTTTCGGAGACGCAGCACACATCGATGGCGCGAGATTCTAAAGTCCTAGCTAAGGAAGCCTGCTGTCCTATTTGGCACAGTGTTCGGACGTTAAAAGCTCCTACGTGTAGTTTAGAGCGTGTTTTCAGGAGACCAGGAATAACGTTCCGCGTACTCGAATCGTTTGCCCTAGCGGTGCGAGGTGATAGAGACGTGAGGAGGGTTAGTCATGGAGATAAGAGAGGTATTAGGAGGTTTAGGAAGGATTTGAATGTGACAAACTTGGTCTCATGTGCTGTTACAGGTATGAGGGCTGATATCACTTTACGGCTGCCCACACAGTGGAAGGGTATTTCTTGAGGAACCTGAAATAGAAGTCGGATTAGTGTTGGCCTTAACGACCTGGGAGCGTGACCGCAGAGCCCAAGGGACAACTGCTTGAGGCCGGTTGCGCATGGCCTTTTGTGAAAGGTTTTTGACGTGTTAGCTCCGTTCTTCAAAGGGCCTTACCGCCGGAGACGGAAATCTGTGAGGTAAGGTGAGGTGTGACATTTTTAAGGTCGACCTTTTCTAACCCCACCCCTCCTTGTGGGAAGGCAGCATCGCTGCAGATGCTGGTTGTCCGAGGGAAACACCTTACTGCTGTCACACCTCTCTACAGTTAGCAGTACGACTTCGCCCTCAGACCTTGAGTTGCTGCATTTAATCTTACCGTTCTCCAATCGACCTGCCTGGCATGGTAGAACCTACAGGAACATATGTTCCAGCCAATATAGCTCGGTTAGGTCATCACGATAGGCAAGCCCGACCACCGCGTCAAGGTAGCAGCTTCGGTCGGGAGAGAAGATATGATTCGAGAAAATATAAATTAGTGAAATAAAAACAAAAAAGGGTATGGGAAATTTAGAATCTCAGAATTTGGGAAGTGACAAAGAATAGATGCACCTGTGCCACTGAAAATGATTTTGAGCCATTTCAATCAAAGTCTTTAACCGTTGGTTACGATAATCACGTGGATAGAAACCAGGTAGTTTATACTTACCAACGTGGCTAAGTCCGATTGGTTCGGCCATCACTAACTTTCTTTCAGCCCACTCCTACACCAGAAAACATTGCCCTTCGCGGTAGGCGGTGGTTGAACATACGTAACATATATTCCAACCACCTCAATTGATGAAGATTTACTACCTTATCAATCAGTTCCCCATCTTTACCCAGTGCTCTATTCCTAACTTAGGCATTGCTTACGCCGTCGTTCCAAGAGACACCTAAGACCGAATACCAGTAACTTACGAATATCCCCTATTCTTAATGGCCATGTTTCCCATCCAAAAAGTAAGACGGAGAGAACTGCAGCGCAGTAAGCTCACTCTTTGGTTAGAGGAAGGTTATGTTGCCTACGCCACAAGTGACGCAATTTGGTAAAAGCCAATCGGGCCTTCTGAATCCATGCCGAGATTTCGTCAGACACCACACCATCAGTACTGATGAGACTCCCAAGATAAATAAAAACATAAGAGATACAGTTAAAAAAAATCTTAATTGTAGCCACAACAGCAAATGCACACACAGGGATCACTAACCAGTGAACACATTAAATATTATTTTCGAGCATTAAACTACCAGGTTTAGCTAAAAGCTGATCGATGGAGAGTTTAGTGACTGATATGTTTAATTTGAACAAAACAATGAGCGGTTTTATACCATTCACAAGGTAACCTACCGATGTACTTATTGTATCTGAACTTTTTTGACATTTCAACAATAGGTTCACTTTTATTTGAGCAATGATAATTCATGTTTCTTCGTCTAGCCGAATAATCAAACTCGAGTGATAGTTGACGTCAAATAAAGCTTATAATATGCACATAAGATATGAAACAGATACTGCCAACAACAACTTACATTTTAACACTAGCCATTTAATACCAATATAGTAACAGAGGGATGAAAGACTTACGCATAGGAAAATTGGTCGATATTTGTGCATAGCAATTTAGTGGGAGACCACATGATGGGAGCGTCTGTTTCAAATATAGAATGGAATTTGCAGCCATAACTACGACTCCACCTAAAAAAACAAGAAACCATTTCAGTTAATGCATCATACGTAGTGTAAACGATGAGTAAATCAAAACATACCAAATTAAGTCACATAAACACCAGTGCAATCTAAGCATTTCCATTAATTACATTAAATACTACATCAAATCAAAAATGTCCTGGTAGTTGAATGCACCAAATGCTTTACATTACTAACATTAGACTTCTAAAAGATAACAATTTCATCAAGTGAATTTCCAAAAAGCTTGAGAGTTGATCTCCTCAACTTTCGTTCAATAAATTGCTTTATTCATTATCATGAAAGCAGTTTTTTCAAGTACATCGATCACTGAGATTTATATCCAGTTAGTCAGTTATAGATAGCACGAATATGCGTCAAACCAAGCTGATATACTGATAAGATAAAACTAATAAACGAATGGCCAGAGTTGAAATACTAGTGTATAAACGATATCAAAAATGAGCACTGAAGAATACAGTTCGAATTGAAGTAATAAACAGTACCAAATAATATTGAAGTTCAAGACTCAGAGGAACACACGAAGTGATTACATTTTTGTCACCGTGAATCATTGTTAGTCATGTCACCCAATGTCTCCAACCATTTATTGTGTTTACTGCGTAGATCCCAGTGTAGTAGTCTAAACATATCAAAACAGTTTAGACCAACAGTCTATGAGTACATGGATTGGTGTCAGATATTGGTTTGACAGCCTCTAGCTTCCTCTCAACTAGCTTGAACCCTAACCAAATTGACCATCGAAGTACAGAGCATTTGGACATATATATTACATGTCGCAGTTATCTCAACCGATGAAGATTTACGGTTTCATTAACTGATTTCCCATCTTTCCCTAGTATCCTATGCCTAACCTCATCATTGATCACTTTTTGGTCAAACCATAGGCAAGCAATATTTGGAAGATATGCGATCAAAAACCTGTAGCCCAATTATGTAGTGGATTTTCACAGGTCATATTTTACAACCACAGTAATACATAGTGGGTTCCTAGGCACCACTTAGTCATAATGACATTGAATGGTGTTCTTCAGGGTTATCCGCTTTCCTTATTTTTTTTAGTTAACTTTTTAAAACACATTCCTTTGGAAATAACTCCTTTGTCTGACTTAATAACTTTTCCTCTCTGTATCATGTCCTTTTATATAGTCTTTTTGTTATATATTACTACCATTGAAGTAACTGCTTTTATGAATTTGGGGTTCGTTTTGTTGTGCTAATGGGGTACAGCAACTTGGACCGATGTATATATATGCCTGGTCCTACGTTTTAGATGACTGACTCGTGAATGGAATACATAGAAGTGTAACTGTAGAAATGACACTAATGAGAATAAGTGTAAAATGGTTCTTCTGTAAGCTCAGTTTGATAATTTAACTTTACAACCAAGTACAGCTTGACAGTGCTACAAGTATGAACGAAATGTCTTACCTATCGGTTGAGGCACAGAAATGACTGAACGACAGTCAAATGGTAGAGATTCTTGAAACCATATAACTGGATTCGTCCGCTTTTGAAGGTTGAAAGATAGTGCCACAATGCAGCATGTGTCTCTTCGAGCTGAAACGCGTCTGGGTGAAAGTAATTTTCAAAATTAGTGACATACCCTGCCCACGTACCAATGGGTTCATATAACACCAACAATGTTGGTTCATAAAATCCGTAAAGAAATTGCATGTCAAGGACATTGTTAATCTTTTCTCCAGTTGATGTGCTTAGACACGTCGTAAACGTGGCTAATAATGGTGCTGTCGCTCTTTGCTGCCACAAAAGCGAGTTTCTGACACTAATATGTTTTGGATCCGTTTCTGTGGACACTAAAACTTCTGTACGTCGGAAAGGTAAAACGGCGAGATGACGGTCGTATACTAGCATAACGGCACAACGTTGGTGTGGATCTAGCCTTAGAATAGGAAGCTTTGTAAAGTTCATTCGACCTGACTGTGAGAAAAAACGAAGACTAATTTAGGATCATATAAGCAAAACCTAGATACAGATGGAAGTTGTATGAAAGTGAAAACGTGAAGATAAGAAAGCGAAGTCGAAATGAAAAACTGAAGCCGACTAAAGGGATATTGCCTTGTCAAGTAAACGATCATAAGAATAAACGTACTTAGAATGCCACGAAAATACAATAAATTGCTAACAAGAACTCGTATGTATTGAAAATCTAAAACCAAAACAACGGAATAATATTTTTGACAGTGAAGCCGATGCAAGGGTGAACAAAATTACGTTAGAATGGAAACAAACTGATGAAACATGAAAATAAAAACGAGCGAAAAAATGTTTAAGTTGGACTATAACAGTGAGTTACTAGTTTGGATTTCACTATTTATAAAGAATACAGACAACGGCAAGTACTTCTAGTAAGACGATAATTAGTCTTTGAAGATAAATCGAATTCATATATACTTACTGCTCTCACATGAACAGGATGATATCAAGAAAATATCCCTTCCAAAATGCATATGATATAATGGCAAATTTGTCAATATCTGACTAAAAATGTATAGACGTACAAATATTTTCTCAACCTGGAATTTTGTAGGTATTAAAATATACACGGGCTTATTTGTTTAGATTACATACTTGAGGCGAAAGAAACCGTAAAGCTATTAGTACTAGGATACGACGGCTTGACTTAGGGCTAGTCTTAAGTCTACTGAATAGATCTGATGTGTTGACAACCGTATAGCCTTGCATCAGCCAGTATAGTTCTAGGAAAATTCACACTATAGGACAAATAGTGAGGTTCAGTTTAGTGTGTATTTGTAAACAGAACTACCATAGAGGTCTCTGTGCGAGTACAGATATGCAAAATACACAGCACGTAGGAATATGGCAACTTGGTAGTTAAATATGTCATAGTAAAGCAAAGCAAATTACATGTAGGAGCAAAAGTGTACTATATGCTACATGATCAATGTAAAGAAACTTCTCTGAATTTTCCTTAATGGGTAAACACTTATTATTCTGTGCGGTGAGATGGCCAATGTAGGTTTACAATAACGAAACACCACTGTTTCAAAGCAAACCTATAAGGTACGTAAGAACAAACTATGTTGAGAACCTACTAATACTATGTGGCCTTATTATGAGTATGTTTCATGAAACGAACAAAATTCTCGGCGTTACCCTGTTATGAACGTTAATATTTACTTAATCAAAGACTGTTTACTGCTAATTTAGTGAGTTGACTCCTACTGCGTACCCAGCTGGGGTGACTTTTAAAGTCCACTTGCGAAATTAGATGAAGAATCATAACAGAGTTATGTAAAACATCCACAAAACACACGCAATGCATGTTATTAATTATACCGAATAACAACAATCAAACCTTAAGGTTTTCAAATTCGTAGTTGTGAAGGGATAAGGTCCTTAGTTCAAATGTGACAGGATTGAAGTTCATTACAGCAACCTGCGGGTTTAAAAAAAGGAATAATGGAATTTTACCTTAGCTTCCGGGAAACTCAGAAGGAGTGAATCTAAAAGATCACCTGTGAAGCGTACAGTGACAATGTCAGCGATATTTTCGTATACGGATGTTCCGTATACCCAATTAAATCGCGTTTCCCCAGAAGCACTTATAAATTAACTGGGAAGCTAATAAACTTACCTGGATTTAACATTATATATTTCAACGAATCCACCACGAGTAATGACAAGGTTTTTTAATTTAGGATGAATTAGGTGGCAATAAAGGCAATTATCCACAGCGGTTGGTGGTGAAATGTGTTTAAAAACTGCACTAAACGTTGTTGGTTTAGTTGTGTCAACCCCAGTGCTCATCTTCTGGCTTTCTAAGAATGCGCTGGTAAACAGCCTGACCTTCTCAGTGAATTTCAACTCTCAATTGATTCAGATTTGTGTAACAATGACAGGTCTACGGCCTATGTTATTCCTTTTCTAGTATGCTTCTATGAGTGTCCAGTCTTCTCTTGAAAGAGTCAATTGAAGATACGGACACCACTGCTTCGAGCAGCAGGTTTCAAGTATTAATGACTCAGTGTGAAAACCAGTATGCCACGGGTACTTTGTTCATTCTTGACTTTTCTACTCGCCTACTATGTCCTCTGAGATGTCCCGATCTAGTGGGAAGAAAAAGAGAGAATAAGTTAGGTTCAAAATCATTTCTCAGTATTCTGTACATCAAAATTAGATCTCCCCCTAATCTGCGATAGGACAGAGTAAAGAGGTCCAGCTTTTCAAGCCGCTCTTTGTATGGTAAGCCCCGGAGTTCTGGAATTGTACGGGTAGCTGCCCTCTGTACTTCTAGGATATCCGAGTCACCTTTTAAACAGGGGCTTGCCGCCTGAACGCAGTTCTCAAGCTTAGTTCTCACTAAGGATGTGTATACTGTGGTGAACATGGTAGTATCTAACTTGGTGAATGTCCGTTTTGAAGTCCAAAGGTTTCAAAACCCTTAGCTGGGACCTCCCGGCAATGGACCGTCGTCTCAAGATCATGACTCACTGTCACCCCAAGATTATCATGAGACCGGACCACGGGTAATGGCACTTCCCCTACCTTGTACCTATTAACCTTTGAATTCCCAAAGTGCATGTAGACACACTTTTCCGAGTTTATAGGCATCAGCCACCCTTTAGACCAGTTGATCATATTATTTAAGTCTGCCTGAAGAGCACATGTGTCTGTGTCTTCAGTTATTATTCGTCAGATCTTTATATCGTCATCGTATAATAACACTGGAAACTGTACTATACTTGGAAGATCATTAACATACATTATAAAAAGTAAAGGACCTAAATGGAACCTTGAGGTACTCCACTAAGTGCTGGTTTCCAGATGGATCACTTGGAATTTATTCTTACTTTATGTCTATGGCCTACTAGGAAATCCTCAATCCATTTTAAAAGAGGTCCGGCAATACCAAGGTTTTCCAACTTCAATAGCAGTCTCTTAGTTGGCACCTTGTCAAAAGCCTTACTGAAGTATATGTAGACAAAATCCACTGAGTTTCCGTCGTCTAGCACCTTTATCCAAGATTCTATTGCTATAAGGAGGCTCGTTGTACAAGATAGACCCTTTCTAAAACCATGTTGTCCTATGTTTAGCAAGTTGTTGGTTTCCATGAATGCCATTATGGTCCGTTTGACTATTCTTTCCAATATTTTAACTACGACACTGGTGAGGCTTACAGGTCTGTAGTTCGATGGAAGTTGCCTTGGTCCTGTTTTTATGTATGGGAGTGACGGTTGCGTCTTTCCAGTTCATAGGTTACACACCTTGGTCAAGTGACATATTGAATATCACAGTCAGTGGGACCGCGATATATTGTGCAAAATGTCTCAAGATTTTGGGGTGTAATTCATCTGGTTCCGTTGATTTTCACATGTTCAAGGTGCTAAGAGCCTTAAGCACATCGTCTCGGTCAAAGTCCACGGTGAGATGGTTTATTGAATCTTTGTTTTAGTCTGGTTCTTTGTCTAGAGGAGGTTCCTGAGTGAAAACTACCCCAAAAGAGTTAGCCATGACCTCTTCCTTTTCTTGATCTTCCTCTCTCATTTCAGATTCACTCTCTTCTTTAACTACGTTGGGAATCCAATGATGCATCCTTGTTCTGTAGTTTATGTACGAGAATGTTCGTTTGGGCTGCTTGAGTGTAATTTAAACAGATAATCAAAAGAATTTCAACGTATGTTACAAATCACTTGAATTCAAACTACTTTCGTGTTGATATAGAGAGATTGTTCAGTATCTCTGGCAATAATGTATGATATGTAGAGGTTTGTGTAGAGAGTGATAGTAGGGTAGGAGCCCAAACAAACAAAAAAGGGGAAATAAAGGGGTAAATGCTTTGGAAGAGAATGGGGAAATAAAAAAACGCACCAGAATGTCGCCTTTTTTCGCCTGTCCAGGGGAAATACTGCGGATTTCCCCCTTTTTGCCGCTTTGTCGATAAACTGCCGACTTTTTGCCTAAATATCCGCCAAACTGCCCACTTTTCGTCTAAATATCCGCCGAATTGTCTACTTTTCACCTAAATTTCCGCGGAATTGCCTAGTTTTCGGCTTAATATCCGCCGAGTTGTCTACTTTTTGCATAAATGATATTTTTCTTTGTGAAAATATGTGGGATCCTTTCGTGTACGTTTTTATTGGTGTATTTTTCCTTCTTAACCTCCAATGATGTCTATATTCATATCTATTATTTTCATCGTTTGGTTTGTCTGAAATTACTGTCTTATACTGTCAGAAAATTATCGATAGCGACTAACCTTTTGACGTCACCTGGGTTTCCGATAATTCCTTTACGTTTATTTTACTCGTATTTCGTCGGTGGCCATTTTAGGTGACATTAGTACTGATTACTCCTGTCTGACTTAGCTAGTTGTATCCATCCATGAAGGACTGAGCAATTTTTGTATTAACAAGTGACGTGGTCACATGGTTTCACATTTCGAATATAATCATTATCTTACAGTTTGGCTTTCCACCTCTAAGGCAATCCGAATAGTTATAGCATTACAGGACATTGTTCCTGGGTCATTAGGAAAGCTTGTGTCTAACAACTGGTTGTAAAAGGTATTACTAATTTTTGCTACCGTTTCTGATGAAGGAAGTATCATCCCTGTATACTGCGTTTGTTTTTTTGCTTACATTTATTCTTGCTAGTACCACATTGTCCTTGTTTGTGTATATTTTGTCTAGGTTACGGTGTACAAGTTGGTGCCCATTATCGACATTCGGTTTCCTTGAACTAAAGCGAATCACGGAATCATTCTTGTGAACTGGACGACTGAAATTCATAGCATTACATATATGACATTTGCTTCAAATCCAAAGTTATAAATACCGTTACTGCGTACACGTGTGTGTTTATAAACATACCTATCTCTAAACATTCTAAAACCTTTCACTATCAGATCATCTCTCTTGTCTTAATGACCACTTCATTCAACTTGGCGAGTTGAAGCAAATTAGCAACGCTACTGATCTTTGAGAGGAACAACTGTAAAATGAACTGCCTGATAGATTCCTGTTCACAATTGATTTATCACTGGGTGGTGATCAATGTCATGCTTGTCTAGTCCTTATTAGTGCAGATTGAATGCTATCGATCATGTTGCAATGTGGCCACCAGTCTAGGTGACTCGACACTGCGGGCACCACATCTTGAGATTTAGATGGTGGTTGGAGGTAGTCAACAGGAAACCCTGGACCCGGGTTTCGTGCTACTTGGCACTCTTCAGCAATTGTGATTACATCTCAGTCCTACAGGAGGTTAGTCACGGCTCGGATAGCTCAGTAGTAACGTCTCTGACTGTGAAGCTGCGTGAAACGAGATCAAATCCGCCGGAGAGCACCAGTTCCCTCAAGATTACAGGTACACCTTGTTAACGTGTGCCAAGTAGCACGAAACCCGGGTCCAAGGTTTCCTGTTGACTACCTCCAACCACCATCTAAATCTCAGATTCCTGTTAGATGCTTTACCGGTTGTGCAGACAAGGATTAAAGTTTATTCTATCAGACACCTTTGGAATTTGAACCGGTTGGATGCCATACTGAGTACTACTGGCAGCTGAGAGACGGTTATTCCTGTCATTGTCGTTGCATTTCGTTATTGGAGTCCCGTATCGAGGACTACATATTAGTTTTAAGGTATTTCAATGAGCGTAACATATCACACTGACTTCGTCTTCATTATTTTTTAAGATCGCTAGCTGGGTCCTTGGAACTACACTGAACTCTTTTCCAGTTGTTATATCGTTCTCAGCAAAGTCGTGAGAATAGAGATTATCAGTATACGCCGAGCGGTTAACGGAATTTCCTCAAGGTTAACAGCAAAAGATGCAGCATGGATAACAGATTGTGTGGGATCAGGAAGTAAAACGGCGTTGTTTTTTCCTTTCTATTCTATTCCTTTTTATGTTTTCACACAAGTATAATTTTGTCTGTTAAAGGAACAGATCAGCCTGGTCCCAAGGTTAGGATGATGCAGACAAGGGAGTCAATGTATGATACATCTTCCGCTTGTTCCCATTTAATTTAACCATACACATCTTTCTAGTTGACACAAAAACTGTGTAAGACTACGAATATGGCACGAAAAATAAACCCACTGATTAAGTAAAGTATAATCCTATATAATTTTACAGCACTCAGAATACATTTCGGTGATTTTCATGGCAAATGAAATTAATTCTTCAATTGTTATTCAAACTCAATAATTTATTTAAAAGGTTACAAAAGACGATTTTTTAGATCTCCCAAAATGTCGCACTATTTCGCACAATTACTCAGTTATTTTAGAAATTACCAAAATGATATTATCTTATATTTTGTAACAATGCTTCTGGTTGTGACTATGTTTTCCAATCTTTTACTCTTTCCTGGAGTAGCTAGACTGTTCTTACTCAAAAATCATCATATTTGACTTCTTTGGACTCAAAACCGCTATTTTACTTGCCTTTTGTGTATTTGTAGCTTACTGACTATTCCAAATAGTCTGAAATAAAAATCAAGAGCTGGAAAATCAGCTGGTTTAAAAATGGTTTAAAATGGTTGTGGACGGAATAGAAGAAACTTTCGCTTAATAGGCTTCCGTGTCTAGTAGCAGGGGATCACGAATAACTCCAGGCAGGAACCTAGGTATGTTAACGATAAAAGAGGAAAAAGAAGTTGGTAAATCACAGTATGATACTATCCTTAGACCATAAGAATAGATCAAGTTGCCTCTTAAATGACTCCTGGGAACTCGCTTGAACTAGCGGATTCCAGCATTTGACAACTCTGAAGGAGTAGAAGTTATGACTACAGTCCGTTCTGTTTTGTTGTGTCTCCAATTTCTGGGTGTTACCCCTTAGGTTGGTATTGGGACTAAGCTTTAGTAGGTGTTTGAGATGTCCAGAAGTGTTAAGAATACTGTAGGCCATCAGAAGGTCACCTCTAAGACGTTTATACTCTAATGGGTAAAGGTCAAGTGATTGGAGGCGCTCTTCATGAGGTTTGAATTTGAGTCCCCGAACTGACTTCAAGGCTCGTCGTTGAATACGCTCTAGAGTGTCCTTATCCTTTTGGAGTGCTGGAGGAAATACTATGTTTCCGTACTTTAAATGGGAACGGATAAAACTGTTGGAGATAATATATGGAAAGTTTTGATACCCAATCGTTTGAGCTTATTGATAAGTCATAAATGGTTAACCCTATCAAAAGCTTTTGAGAAATCAAGGTGAACGATATCAACCTTCTCCCTGCAATCAAGGATGGTTGTCCATCTATCCACCGCAGTCAGCAGGTTGGTTATACAAGAGTAACCCTACCTGAAACCATGCTGTTGGGGTGAGAAGAAAGTTAAGGACAGTTAATAGTCATATATACCATCGCATATCAGGGACTTCATGATTTTTGAAGGTATAGAGAGAAGAGCCACTGGTCGGTAACTTGATGGTTCGCTGCGTCGACCTCCTTTGAAAATTGGTGTGATGTGATCCAGCTTCCAAATTTCCGGTAGTTTGCCTCGGCTTAGTGTGTGTAAGAACATCACTTTAAGCGGTGTTGCCAGGATTGAGGCTTCTTCCCTCCGAATAGCAGAATTAACCATATCTTCGCCAGGAGGAGTGTCTTTTCTTAGGTGCTGCAGTTCCCGGAACACCAAGTCGGCGCTCAGGTTCATTTCGGAAAGTCCTGTGCAGTTGCGAATGAAGCTGTCCTCAGTATAGTTGCTGTGTGCCGGTTGAAATGTCCAGAAGTATTGTTCAGCCAAAAGCTTAGCGGCATCGATGTCGTTGTTTGTTGGGACATTAGGACCTAGCAGTTCGAAAACTCCAGTTATGGCTTTTCGAAGAGAGGCAGCATGACTGAATAAGCTTTTCGAACTGGAGGCGAATTTATCCATAAGCTTTATCTAGTGCTGAAGCCTGTCTTCTCTTATAGCCTTCGTGCATATGTTCCTTATATGTTTGTATTGCCTGTACGTGCCGTTCTTATCAGTTCGTTTGTGTTCTGCCCAATAGTGTCTTTTGAGGCTTAGAAAACGAAGAGTGCGGTTCTTGATAACTGTAGGTTGCTTGTAGCTGTTAGGGACCGTTTTAGGCCTACTTTGTAGCACATGAGAGCGTGATCAGTAAGAAGTCCCAATGAGTATCCACATCGAGTTGATGGTGAACATGTCAATCCACCTGTTGTAGATAGTCCTGTAAAACTGACAGATTCAACCGTTTGAAATTCCAGCGCATGTTGTTGGTGGGATAGCTTAGTTCATTTTTGTTATGAAGGCGTGATCGCTTTTCCCCAGGGAAGCCAGGATTGGGAGGTTGTCAACGAGGAATTCTTTTTTTGTAAATACCCAGTCTAAGTGCGACAGTATCTGGCTGCTTCTCCAACGAGTTGCCGACCTCACATTTTCGTATAATCCCACATCCTCAATGAGTTTGGAGAACCGAGCTTCAGTTGAGTTTTCACCTCCAATATACGTATGTTCCGCGAAATTGACTCTAGGGAGATTGAAGTCCTCTAGAATCAGGATATGAGTAGATCGGAGACAAGTAGAGAGAGATAGTCCCCTCAGCATATGACTGTCATACTCGATGTCAGCAATGGGCTTCCTATACATGACTCCGACTAGGCATCTCGAAGTAGTAGACAACCTTACAGAGCACCATATGGATTTCTCAAGATTGTTAAACCCTTGGTTGTGAACTTGGTGTACCTTCAGACAGGATCGTATGTATACGGCTACTCCACCCCCAATTCCTGTCATTGCAAAACAAAGACATCCCAGGTAATTGCTAGCTCCTGGTCCGAGAACTGAGAAGATGTCCAAGTTTCAGATATTCCCATCAGATGAGCATTAGTAGCATTGCTAAGTTCACGTAGCTCATCCATTTTGTTTGATAGACTCGCGGCGTTCATGTATAAGCCGTTTATGCTTTCAATTTGAAACGCATGAGTTTCTTCCTGTTTGCCTGTATGAACCTTACGGGAATGGACAGGTAGCCTACCTATATAAGGTTTGCCGAGTTGGTAAGCCCTGTCCTTTACACGTTTTTTTATCATCAAGACAGTCCACAAGTGGAATGGTCATCTTCAACTTATCTTAGTGCTTGAACCTGGCGTCGTCTTTGGGGTTCATAATTATGAGAGAGTCATCACGAAGGGTCATTGCTTTCCCAGGTTTTCCGGTGCGTTCCGGTTCAGCACCTTGTTGTTTGGAGGTTGAAGCACGTTTCTGAATCCTAGGCTCTTTGATGACCGGACTTACGTTCTTGGGGGTAGACTGTGCGACCAAATCACCAGTTGGTTTCCGTACAACACTTGGGATATTCAGCTTAGACTGTGACGCCCGGTTCTTTTTAGCTCTATTGACGTGGGTCCAGTCACCTACAGGGTTTTTGGGAACCACTGTTGCATTCAAGGACCCTGAGCTGAGAGACCCGAGTTTACTGAGGGAGTCTATTACCGTCGACGTGATGATGGTTCTGAGTTTCAGCATGTCATCATTTGTGCTAATGCATGCTCCATCGATGGTAGACCTGTCGACGTCCCGATTCTTGTTACCGTTGCGCCCCCTTGTTTGTCTACCCGTTTTATGACTGTCTTTTTCCAAGTTTGCTGACAACTTACTCTGCAGACCTGTCAATAGGACAATGATGTTACCCAGCAAGACAACAGCATCCGTGCTGCACGTAACACATTCCCACTTATGATCCGACTTGCTGAGTCTGTCGTAAGCAGTTGCTGTGAAATCTGTGCACTCTTCGTGGAACCAACCTTTGTAGTTGTCGTACTGCATGCTAGATGTAACAGCGAAACGGCATCCAGGTCATTTGCATGAATTGTTCATGACTATATTGACGTAAGTTGTGTTATAAATGCTAGTAAAAGCCCAAGATCATAAAAATACACTGAAAAGCACACTAAAAACGAGCAAAAATAAATCAAAACGGATGAGGTAAACTGAACTAACTTTACATAAAAAACTGACAAAAGCCGAATAGTAAACTGGGAAAAACCATCGTTAACTAGTAAATTGAGTGAAACTCAAAAAAAGTTATCTACCAAACGTATAGCTCAGAATAGATTCTTTTGATCAGAAATGGTACTTTTGTTGCCTAAGAACACAGCAAAAGTTTGATAAATACAAATCACGTTAGGACTAAACTTTCTGTTCGAAAAGTGGGCTCATTGCATAGAAATTGAAGGAATAACGGAATATTACAAATCTTATTGGCTGAGTGTGTGTCTCGCGTGAAAAATCGATTTAGACTCACTGTTCACTGGATTTTGTTTTACCAAATCAATAGTCATAAAACTGAAAGTATTATTCAAATTTAACGGGTTAAAAAGTGCAATTGGTTTTCGTACCCACTAAATCACAAAAGTAATTGTTAGAAGTTGTGAACACATGTTTCTTGAAAGTAATAACCCGAATGTGGAAAATTCGGTTTCTACCCAGTTTTATTTTTTAATATTTGTCATGCATTTCTGTAGTTATGAAAAATATATACGTCATTATACTTATGCGAAGCAGTATTTCTGTTTTTTTCTTTACTGATCTTGAGCTCATTGAACACTTGAAGTTAGAGGGACACTCTTGTTTTATGTATGCTTTATTTTTGAAAGGAATGAGTTCAAAATGTCGTAGTGTTCTACAGCTGTAAATTTTTTAGTCGCATGTCTTAATGAATCTCAAGTCACTTTTGAATTACTCTTCTATAACATATAGTTAGGAACTCTTCCCAGGTTTTCAGAACTTAGGATTTTTTGGAGCGCCTCAGGTGGACTTTGAAATGTTCTACTTAACAGCCCCTTCAAGGCTAACATATGTGATTCCCCTATATCATGCTCTAGTAAATCCTATTCTCAGTCCTTTCATATGAACAAATGTGGGATACTGGCACAAAACACCATTCAAAGACATCAAATGTTGGTGCGTGGTGTGAAGACGGGTCTATGATTCCTGGATCGTCTATAAAAGCCCATGTTGATTTTGAATAATATTTGTTTTTGTACAGCCTTCAGTTCGTTATACTTTATTTAAAGACTTAGTGCTTCCGAGAACCGAATAGCTGGTAACTAGTCGATGAACAAGTCATATTGCGTGCTTAACCGTAATTACTGTGTATCATCTCTAATCGTATATCACTTTATATGTTCGAAAACACGACAGAACCGCAGGTTAGTGATCATGATGTATGAATGCAAAAATGCCAAAATTCATATATAGGATACCAACTAACAAAACTTTTCTACTGACGCACCATGAAGATGCTATCAGACCCTTAACACCCGAGGATGTACAGGTCTTGATGGAATCTGGTGTCTGTTTAAAAATATGTAGTTTTAGACCTTTAAACTAAATCGCTTCGTTGTATTACGTTGTAGCTGTGTTATACCTTAACTTCGTTTAAATGTGTGAAATCCCACATTTTAGTTTTTTTGGCTTAGGTTCATAAAATCTTTAAATATATTTTCGCTACAAATATGTCAGTTAAATGCAAAAAGTGTCTGTTACACAAAATACCTATGACAGAGTTTGTCTGGCCACAAGTTTCAGAATATATTTCATTCATATGTGATCTTATGTGATGTCATTCAATATTTGGACAGTATGTATGCCATTACTTTCGTAAGAAGTCCCGTTATACATTTGAAGTCTTTGTGTTACAGAGAATTCTGTTTTATGCGATACTAATATCAGTTAAACCAACGGGTCCTTTCTCAAGACGTAATCAGAGATTATTTAGTATGACATCCTTTTTCCAGACACTCGATGCGCATACACTGACTCAAAAGGATCGGATTAAATATTTCTTTTTCAAAATTAAAATCTTTGAAGTTTACTGCCATCCGAAATTTGTTACGGAAAATTTTATTGGTCATTAATTTCCTATGTCTGATTCATACTTTCTAAATCCACTAATAGTTAAAATAAAGATATTAGTTGAAATTATTTTATAAACAGATTTACGTACGTTTTGAGTAAAGCATTTCTTGGTGGGTTGTTTTATATATTGTTTTGATTGTTTTACATGCAACATCTTTACGAAAAGCAACATTGTTACTATTCTTGCACTGATAATCATCGTTTATACAATTTATATATGATACAACTAATTGTATACACTCTCACTGTTGATCATAGCTGTTATGTAGTATTTAAACACTTTCGAGTACCATTTGTCAGACGTTAAATGTTTAGTACTAATTTTGTAGAGAAAGTATTAGCCAGTTTATTTTCCTTGAAAAGTAATTTGATTTGGAGCCGTATATAGAAATGCAAGTTGAATAGTTCAATAAAGCAAAATTTTGTTGCAAGAACTTTTTCTTCTTGGTTCAAACATACTATTGAGTCTGAAATCATCGTCTGAAACATGTTTTCAAATAACCAAATTCTTAGTTTTGGTTAGAAAACTGCAAAGACTTGTATGAAAATAATCTGCCAGAACGTGTTTAAAAGTGGCAAATAATTACTTTATAGCTCTGTATTCTTTATTTATCTAAAACAGGAGCTTCAACAGTTTTATCGCATACTTCAAATAATTATTATCCCTAAAAAATTTTATAGTCTGAAAACTAATATTTTTAACAAAAGATATAAAGTCAGTTGTTGCTATAAGTCGCAAGTGGATTAAAAGCCACAATTTATTTAAAATATTGAAGTTCATATCAGTGAAAAGTGAAAACTTAGAACTAGTGGCTTCTTGACAGAAAATAATTTAATATTAAATGAAGATTTATGCCATATATTTTCCTTTATGAGACTGTTCAAGCGATTTAGTTCTCAGATATAGGACATTGCACATAGAAGTCAATAAATGATTTTTAATACTAGATGCTTATAACTGTGGTATTCGGTTTCGTAAAGTACGGGTTTTCAGGTGCACGAATTTCTTCGTCGACTGATAAAATGTGAAATTTCGTAACAATATTTTTACAATACGTTCAGAATTGGATAGAACTGGAAGTCAAACAGTCTACTGGTATGGAATCTGATGATAGCTGTGAAATAGCCTCGGTAATTACAAGAGCAGATACCAAGTCTGATTTATCTGATAATCAGACCATTGATTGGAGTAACCATCAAAATCTAAGGAAAGAAAACTATCCAAGTTGTGATGGTTGCCTATCAAATGTAGAAGTATTATCAGATAGTTGTTTGAACACTTTTTCACTAAAGCTAAGAGGTGAGTTACTCTGTTCAGATTTCAATCGTTTTACCTAGAGCAAGGAAAGAAGATTAAACTCCTGGAACAAGAGCGAATCGGCTTTTTGGAACAAATAGCCAATCTCTGTTCATCTTTAGAAAAAAAGCAACAAGAGTTGGTTGATGTTTTGAAACTTTCGGAAGAAAAAGCAAAATACCACGCTCATTATATGACTGAGGTTTGTTTGTAATTCCCTATCGATTTTTGTCATGTTTGCATTCTTGTCGCATATAGTGTATGTAAGTAGATTAACTGTCTACACAGGCGTAGTTGTTTTATATTTATCTGATTGTTCCACCATGGATACTCACAGTGCTTGATCACGATAGGATCACTCATTAATTCATTGTATTACAATGGTATCCATATTTTTAATTGGTCTCTATTCTTAGCCAACTTTGCATATGACACAGGTGAATCATCACCTGTTTCCATTTAAAATTTCAGGAAGCATGCGTACGGGTCCATTTAAAATGAGATGAAAAACTGAGTTTTAAGTTAAGCAAATTTTGGATTTTAGGTTATTAGGCACTACCATTTATTTCACTTTGACGCGTTATACCACCCCATGAGGTATATAATCTGAGTATGGACACAAAATTGTTACCGAGAAGTTGACTATACATAGAGAAAAGCCTAAATATACGTCAGTTAATGGATAAGGTGTATACCAAAATTATTGTTTTTAAGATGGTCTAATAATGTTTTGACGTGCGGAGTTTTTTCGTCACTGTAAGGTAAGAGGTTAGAAGGGCGCTAGTAAACTGAGCAAACTAAGTTTCGATTTTAGTTTCTAGAACGTGTCCTGTTATTACATCTCAGCACATCGAAAGATTATATGCTTCAGTTAAAAATCAGTTCGTAGGTTAACTTAGGAAATTAAATTATAATTGAGTTCTTATCAACTCTTATTCTGTGATTTCTTTTGCACTGTTGGAATAAAATAAAAAACAGGTTAGTAGTCTACTAGCCGAACTGAAAACACTATTTTCAGAGCATTCAAACTGTTTTAATCCAGGAAATCAGGCTTTAATAGATCAGGGTGAATTTGGGAATAAGAATGAAGTTTCACATAATACCGATACTGAAAACGTACAATTGAGTTCCACTATTGGTTCAGTGAAAGGCGCTTGCTGTTCAGAATCTCAGCAAGATCATCGTGGCCGCGCTCTAATCAATGAACTTTCTGCTACAGTAAGTACTGTCAAAAATATGAACAGCAAAAAATTGATAAAACACGACCCTTCTCCACAAACCCCACATATATTTGGTAAGCATTCTTTTATAATTTCTTATAAATTTCGTAGTTTTTTCTTTTATGTATTATAAGAGCTGGTAAACTAAAATGTAATTAATTCGAATTATTGAAAGTGACTTTTAGTGTATAATTTACATTTTGTAGATAAACGAAATGTAAACTATTCGAATATTCAAAAAGCACTCTTAAAGATATGAATCAAAAAAGGGAAATAACTAAATCTTTGCATAATGGCCAACAGTGACAACAGAATAAAGAGCTACTGCGTCCTTTCTATTGAAGTTAAATTTGGGCTATGTTATCAAGAACATCCGTTAATTGAATTCCATATACCACATGCTCCTCCAAAAAGTCCTTAATTGCCTTCGTGACCATAACCAACCGGTACAGTATCTTGAACTGATCACTTTTAACACTCTACTATATCTGAGTAAAGTGAACAGTCTGATCTTTTATAAAGGTTGAAATCGGGTATAGAGTGAAAAAATTTCGAATTTATTTTCATAATCTGTCATTATATCTATAACCATTAGAATTTACTCATGACACTTGTCGAACATCTTAACCGTTGTTGATTAAAAATAGTTATGTCTTTTCATATACACTGACGGGTTGGTGATAACAATGTAAAGTAAATATTGTAGTTACGTAAGGTGCAGTAATTCTGCATATGAAAGTCTAGGATACAGAATATAGTGTAACAGAGTCTAAGATAGTTTCACATCTTTTGATGTCTCCATCAAAACGTTGTAGTGTTTGGAGATGATTATAGCATCATGGCATGTCTTTTGTACCAAGATTTCTCTTTGGCATCCATGCAAAATAAAGAGTACCGTGGGAAACTGTGACTTTTTAAAGAAATAGATTTTAGAAGCTGATGATATCTCGAGTAGAGGCTTGCAAGCGAAATAATGTGTGCTAAAAGTAGGTACACTGTAGAATCTCTTAAAGCAACAGCTTTGAAATATTTTCTATTATCTCTCAAAACTACTTATAACGTAAACAGATCTTATTATAAAACTAAAATAAACAGTTTAACTGAATTTGTTTGTTTTGTTGATCTCCTGTTAATTTCTAATCTACATATATTTGCACTCCTTGACTCTAAGTTGGGATGTCTCCATTAATTAGTGGTCATTAATTTGATGTGTGTCTTACTCCTCGCAGAAACGTTTCCCATAAGCAATGTCTTCACTGCACAGTTTGTTTACTTGAAAAATATGCAAACTGCCTAATTAGTTAGTGCAATATTTTATTTCAAAGAATGTTTAGGTTGAAATAATTAATTTGCTCTTTAGACTATTATTCCTGCATTGTTTGTATATATATATATATATATATATATTTGCAGAGACAGAAGGAAATCTATGACTGAGTTACATTACTTTCATGGTAGTATACGTTTGAATGTTGTCTTCTAAACAAAGACTAGTGAGAAATCCAAAATTAACTATCACCTCACTATAAAATCATTAGTAGTCCGGAGTTTAGTTGGAGTCTCCTTTTCCATCATTTTTTAGTTTACCTTGTTTTAATTGATGATAGTTTGAGTTGTCTGGTAGATTCAAGCGAAGGAAACTTGAATATAGTGTTCAGCGAAACTGAAAAGTCTTAAGAAATCGGTGGCTGATTTTTTGTTCAAATTAATTTATATTTTAATGCCTCTACTATAGCATTTCAGAATTTGTGAACTGTTTAAAATCAACTGTGTAGCCCTTCCTAGGTGTAGAAATTGCTGTGTTAACAAAGGTTATTTTATGCAGTCAACTGGTTCAACACATAGTTCTATTTAAATCATTTGTAAAGGTTTTTAACTTAACTATCATAAAATTTTAGTCAAGCGTGATGATTTCTAAATCATAGCCACAATTCTGTGGTTTCAGGAAGATATTCTCATAGTTTTAAGATATTTTCCTTCACTTCTTACTGTTTCTCTTTGTAAAGAGACTTTTTTCTCAATATTGAGTTTCATTCGAAGAATTCTGAACCTGTTTAAATAATAATATTCCTAGTGAGTGTACACCTTTACGTTCTACATTTACTTTACTTAAGCCTATTGTATTTACAACTTAGCATTAATCTTAGTTTTTTCCGTCAGTAATTAATCTATATACAATATCGTTTTTCGTATTCACTCCTAGCACAAAATATAAATGGATAACATTTAGCGTCAATAACTTGGTCGTTTGACCTTCAAAAATACTTATAATAGGGTTAAAAATCTTTGTATTACTCTGTTTTCTTTCGTTTTCTTTAGTATCTTTGTTTTTATAGACAATATTAAAAATTTTATGGAATTCGCGCACGAGACCGAAAGTCCTGGTTATGAGTCCCGCGTGTGTAGTCGTGGATGAGCATTATTGAGGAGTCACATACTAAAACGAAACGGCCGTTTAGCGCTTTCAGTTTTCAATGGTGGTCTGACATTGATCCATTCATGATATCAATCTAAACTCAACAATCTCCACAAGACTATACTTGTAATTCTAAAGCTACCAGCCGGACCTTTTCCTAAATTATTTTTATTGATAAAATTTAGTTTTACCTAGGCTAGATGTTGTAGTTAAACCAGTTTCTTTGCAATTGCTTCTTATAAGCGTATAAAAATTCTGATTAAGCAAAGATTTTTTTAAAATTCAGGGTTTGTGGGATTCATCATGTAGTTGATATTTTTAAGATATAAGTAAATATATACTGCATACATATATACATTTGTGGCTTGAAATATTGTTTTTAGGAGTAGGTAGCCCTGTAGCGGTTTGCGTCTAGCCAGAAGATACCTTGTGTACTAGGGGAGGATGTAAAGTATCATGAGTGAAAAGGGCTGTGAAGGAGAAGAATGAAAGAAAAAAATAAGTTGAAGGCCCAGATGGTGTACACAATACAATTACATTTACTATAGAAAGCAATAGATAACAGTGAGCAGTAACACAATCCTCAGATTATAACAAAATTGGAATCGAAACTGGAAGCAGATAGTTTAACACACAACGGTCCTCGTAGTTTAAAAGTGGAGGATATTTTTCAAATGTTTATTCGTATGATGTGTCTAGTTAAGTTCTGTTTTAATTATTTAAATAATTTAAACAAATTAAATTACTGATTGATTGTTTTAGCTTTTTATAGGTTTTTCTGCTTTACATCTAAAAAAAATTAATTGGATTTATAATCACCAGGATATAGAGACGAAGAAATTATAAAACAATTTTGTGTGAACTTTTCCTGTGATACATAATGTGACAGTTTGTGAAAAAAGTTATTCGTGACATGTTATCAAGCTCATTCAGATGGAATTTAGTAAAAGGTGGTGATTGAGTGTGTTTAGTGAATATATACTGGTGTAATGATATACCGCAAGACAGAAACGCTTTGACTTATATGTCAGTTTTATTGTTTTTTTTTCGAATGATTATTTATTATCATCTTAAGTTTGTTTATTATGTTTTTATATTCTGAATACACTTAAGTGCTGACTGGAAACAGAATAAAGACATGAAATTTCTATCAGAATACGAATTTCTGTGATATATATGGCATTAAAGATTAATTAGGTTATCCAGTCATTGGTTTTTAAACTTTGGATGTGCTATGATACTGGTATTAGACCATTCCTACCTTTGTCTCATCGATCACATAAACTTAGTGGTAGTCATTCTTATTTCCAACAACTTTGTATCAAAATAAATTATATTTTTTGAAATCGGAATCGACTGGAGAAGGAAATTAGTTTCCTTTATGTCAATAAACTATATATTAGGCAAATATAAATTTTGTGTGATGACATGTAGGTAGTAATTTGTCACTCCTCAGATTCACCTTGATTTTTATTACCTCAGCATCTGATTTTGTTCACTATTAGTTACTAAATGCTTTTACACAAACAACTTTGTGTATACCAATAAACTGATTAATTTGTAACAAAAAGAATAGTGAATTACAGAAAATGCTTCATTATATCTCTAAACCAAAGTGAATTAACCATTGATCTTGTAAATTATTTCACAGCATTTGTTCGAGTGAACCTCTACAGTCTTTTGAAAGCTGCATATATATATGTTCAGAATATTCATAGTTCATGCAAGATATGAAGAGTAGCTTGTAGGGTGATAAGTCAAGTTTATTTAATGTATGCTGTCTTACTATGATTTCCTATTTAATTTTTGCGTTTCAAAGGCAGTTTATTTTTTAGTGAATGGTAATATTTTTGTATAAATATATTTTGAAATGTTTGAAAATCACCATCACATTGAAACACATATAAGCAAAGAATATTCTTTTTATTAAATTTGATGAATACTTGTTCAATCGGACAAAAATCTATTAATAACTACATTCGTCTTTCATATTTCTTTAATTCTAAAGTTTTTACTCTTGGTTTTTATTACAACTATATCACTTTACTTTCCTCGAGATTATTCTCATTATATTTTATTGTACTCTTAATATAATGAATAATTATTATAGAATCATACGTTCTCTTAAGTTCTATCAATTAACTTTCACTATTTTTATTTTGATCAAATAATTATGGATAACACATTATTATTTCAAAAAAAATTCTCATTTCTGTATATTTTTTTCCTACATTTAATATTTCCTATAGGTTCTGTAACTTATGTTAAATTTGTTTTTCCAAAACAAACTGTTATCACTTTAGTATATTTTGTCTAAGTCTTTAAGTAAAGAAATTCAACCCCATATAGTTGACTGCTTCTCATATGAAAATGTTTCCGTATTAGATACATGATGTCATCATAGTCACAGTGTATTCTTTCATGAATTATATTAATATATATAGTGTAAAGTTGCCCGTAGTTGTCTTTTTCGTGAAACATCTACATACTGAATTGATTGAAGTAAACATTTCATATAAAACTGAAAAACTTAATCAATTTTTACTCTAGTTCAGTATTTAAATTTTAAATAATGTTTTTATTATTTTTTTTTGTTGTTGTTCAGATGACAAAAGTTGGTAACTAGGAAAAATATTTTTTTGGGAAATATTCACCAAA